ACCACATTGTGTTCATCCATCATCTGTTGGAGAAGGCTGTGTTTTGAGATAGATGAAAATCAGTCTTTGAAAACCAGGTGCATACCCCAGTTTCCTTCTGTGCCAGGTGGGTCCCTGTAGACGGGGCACGGGGCTGCACGTTAACCTCTCCGTTGTGTAAGAAAGACCCTCTACTACTGCACACGCGTCAGTTCAAACAAATCTTGAGTATGTTCACCTTGATGTTGATGTGGAAAAATAACTCAAATATAAAGAACAAAAAATGCAAGTTTTCGGGCTCTTTGGAGAAATCCCTGTGTTTTTGTAAGAGGTGGACTGTTTCCTTTGGGTCGTGAGGACGAGGCGACAGCCCTGCTGTGTGGTCAGGGCTCCCTGGCCGGCCCTGCTCTCCCCGTGTGCGTCTGACCCTGACGGGGCTGCTGTAGCCTTGAGGACAGATATGGTGCTGTTACCAAGTGTGAGAGAGTTCTTTAAAAGGGTCTGACGTTTTTCTTGCCGTTGTGCTTTCTGGGATGGAAAGCTGAGCAGCGTTAAGAGAACCGCATTGCACACGTGATATGATAACAGGGGCAGCTTTTGAATCACAAGAAGAGGGAAGAGACAGCCAGGAAAGAAAGGCTCAGGCTTGAATGCTCAGGGCTACGTTCAAAGTCACGGCGTTTGAACCCAGCAGGTAAGTCACAGGCAGAGAGGAAACGGGCTGCGGCATTTCGCTTACAAAAGGAAGACAGGGAAAGAAAACCTTTGTAACATTCGCAACCTCCGTAGACCAGGGTCAAAACATGGGATGCAAAGAGAGAAGAAAGGGCAAAGAAGTACAGCCAGGTGGGGAAGCAGGGGCGGTCAGGAAGGTGGGGCAGGTCCTGCCTGGACCCATTTGCTCCACAGGCCGGCTTGTGCCCCCCAACTCCCAGCTGCAGCCTCCACCCGTACCCCAGGCCCCTGCCTGGCCTGCCCACACCCTGCCCACCCCGAGGGCTGGCCCAGCCCCAGGGCCCAGCTGCTTGGCCAGGGCTCCTGGAGGAGGTGGGACCTTCTGTCCCACGGGCCCCTGGAGATGCACCGCACTGCCACCCGCCAGGCCGGGCTGGGATGGGCGCCAGCCTGCCGGCGCCTCCTTCCCGGGCCTGCCTGGCCCGCTGCCCCCCTTGCTGGGCTTGTTTCCCCCGCCTGGTGCCAGGCCTAGCTGGCCTCTGTGAAGGTGGCCTTGAGAACGCTCACCCTCACCCCAGCCGTGGTCCTTCCCACCGGGAGCTCTGCGCGGGCTGAGCGAGGCCAAGCCGGGCCTCGTGTCCCCGCCTGTCCCTGCTCTGTGACGTGTTGGGTCCGAGAGCAAGGTGCAGCCACGCAGGAACTGGTCACGGTGACGCCGGGTAGCCGTGGCCTCGCTGCGGGGACCCTCCAGGCCAGCCCAGTTCCCGGGCCGCCCCCATGCTGCCCAGTCCCGACGAAGGGGAGGTCAGGCCGCAGCTGGCCGTGCCTCCGGCTCCCCAGGGCCACCCGAGGAGCTAGCAGGCCTGGGGTGTTAGAGAGGACACCATGCTGCGTGAGCTCTGGGCCTTTTTTGATTGTTGGGCCCGAAGTGAGCTCGTCAGCCCCACGCAGCGGCCGGGCAGCCATCCAGTGGCCCCTCCGAGCGGCTGTTGGGACATTGCGGGCTGGCGTCTGTGCCTCCACAGGGCCGCGTGCAGTTTCCCCCACTGCCACCACCCTCAGCGCAGTCACCTCGGGCCCTGGCACACGAGGGACCCTGGGTGCTGGCCTCTTGTGCAATCTGAGCGTCAGCCACCCTCCCTCTCCCCTGGGCATGTGAGGTCACGGACGCGGGAGACGGGCAGACGGGACCCTCCTTAGAGCGGTGGAGGGCGGAGTGACGGGACCCTGGGATGCTGGGCCCTGGCTCCTGGGGGCTGGGCAGATCACACGGCCTTGCTCTGGGGCTGCAGTCATGTGGGCAGAGGGGGCCTTGGAGGGTCCCTACGTCCTTACATAAGGTGCCTTCTGTTACGCCTGTGCACCTCTGAGCCAGCGTTCCCAAAACGTGGTCAGAGACGGGAGAGCGGCAGGGAGGAGAGCGGCAGGGAGGAGAGCTCTTGTGGCCCCGAGCCAGGTGCTGGTGCACGGGCATCGTCTCCTTCCGCCTCTGGGGCCGCCCTGCCTGGCCCGACACAGGAGGCAGCCCAGGGGTGGGCGGGAGGGGGGGCAGCTTTATCCCGCAGGGTGGACTCGGCCTGGGGGGTCTGGACGCGGAGCCAGGCCGCGGGCCCCACCCGGTCTGTGCTCCCCGGCTGTGTGACTCTGGGCAGATGGCTTAGCCTCTCTGTGCCTCTGGCTCATGGTGAGGAGTGAGGGAGGAATCGCCCCAGGCTTCAGTGCAGTGCCTGCCGGGAGGGGGGACCCAGCGGGGCCTCGGCCGCACCTTCCCTGCACGACCCCACTGGGCACCTGCGGGGCCGCAGGCGAGTGACCGCAGGGCTCTGGCCCGAGTGTTTTCATACGGCGGGAGCCGGGAGCTGCCGGCCCGACCGCTGCCTCGCTGGGAAGCCCGCCTTCCGCGACACGTTTCTGTGGATCCAGCAAATTCCTCATATTTCTCTTGAAATTCTCTTTTTAAGAGATCGTGTCGTTGGCGCCTTCGCGTCTTCATCGTGTTTGCTGTCAGCGCTGTCCCCTGAGGTCGTGACGGACTTTTTACCGTCAGGCTTTCAAATGCGCAGAGCCGGTTAAAGACCCCAAGGGACGGGGGTGGGGCGGCAGGGGGACGTGGAAGTGACGCGGGCGGTGGGGCGCGAGGCCCTGGGCCGCGTGCTCCGTGAGTGGCCAGGCCAGCGGCCCTGCTCGTGCGTGAGGGTGACAGGCCGCCGAGGGCAGCGGGGTCAGCGCAGGGGCCACGGGAGGACGTTCCGGGCCCAGAACCACAGCTGACACCCTGAGGCCTGTTGTGGAGTCACGAGGGGTGATGGGGAGGCGGGCCGCTCTCCTGGAGCTCTGTCCCGGGGGAAGGGAGACGGCCGCACAGCAGCCGCCGCTGAATAGGGCGCACGGCGGGCTTGCCGCCATCGTCAGGCTTTGCTCCCGTGGCAGCCCTGGAGGTGAACACTGTTCGGGTCCCGCTTTTGCTTCTCGCTGAGTGGCCCGTCCAGGTGGCGCCAAGGAATGGCCCGGCCCGGCTTGCGGTGACAGGCCCGTGTCCCCGCGTGTGGCGTCCGCCCCTGGGCTGTGCTCCTCTCGGTAGCCCCCCACGGGCGGGTGGTCTGGGAGCGCATCTCAGACCCCTGTGCCGGCGGGGCCCATGCCTGGCAGGGTGGCCGCCTGCTCAGGGGAAGCGAGTCTCCTGCACCTCAGGAAGAGTGGGATCCCGGCGGCTGGGCCTCAGACCCGGGCCGGCCCCACGGCGCGGACCGCAGGGCAGCTCCCTGTGAGACGGAGGGAGGGTGGGGCAGAGTGCAGACACAGGCTGTGGAGAAGCCGCTGTGGTCGGTGTCATCGGGGGGCTGCGTGGGACTTGTCCCCCCGGGGGAGGGGCCGCCAAGAGGGGCAGGGCACCAGCGAGTGGACGGGACGGGGCCGCGCGGGCGCCCGATGCGCTGCCGCCTCGCGCCGGGCTGAGCCCCGGCTCCCATGGCCGAGGCTGCGAGGGCTCAGGAGCCCGCCTGGGGCTGCCCAGAGGAAGGCGTGTGCCCGTGACGCCCCAGGCTCCTGACCGCCCCGGCCAGAGCCGGCACCAGGCTTAGGGGCCGTCTCAGCTTCCACTGCCCTGCCCGCCCAGATCAGGCCCTGAGGCCGCCAGGCGTGGGGGGTGGGGCAAGGCAGCTGTGATCCCAGGTACCTGGCGCTTAAGCCCGAGTGGCCAACAAAATAAAACTTCCCTCCGTGAGAGCTGAGCCCGGTTAGAAGGCGGTTCTGTCGGGGCGCCGTGTGGGCCTGGCTGTGCGCGCTCTGACGTCTGTTTGTGCTTTTCCCGGAAGTCCTGTGCCGTCTGTGGAGCAGGTAACGCTGAACGGGTGGAGCCTTTCACCATCGGGTGCGCTGACACACAGCGGCGCGCACGCTCCCGTGCAGGCGTGGCTCTGTGTGTCCATCATCGGTGTTGCTCCGACACGGAGCACTTGGGCTGTCTCAGCTCTGGCTTTTGTTACATAACGTTCCCAGCAGGCAGAGCACCGCCGCCAGCCACGTAGTTTGTACGTGTGCCGTGTATTTCTGGTTTTCATTTACACCGTTGGTGTGTTCGGAGACGTGGAAATCAGCAGCTCCAGTCGGAGCCTCGGCCCCTCGCTCGTTCCTCCGCGCCGCCTGGCTGGCGTGGGCGCTGCCGCCCTGCAGCTGGCTCACGGTGCGGGCTTGTCCAAGGGGAGAAGCCTCCTGGTCTCCGCAGTGACTCAGACGCCGCGTCAGGCTGTGGGGACGGGACTGTCGTCACCGGTGCTCAGCGTCTCTCTCAGATGCTCCTGCTGCAAGGAGCCTCATCTTGTCTCCCGTCCCCAGTGGACGCTCGTGCACCTCCGGGCGCCTCGGGGCTTTTCTCCCCGAGCTGTGGCCGTGCCTTCAAGAGCGATTTTGTGTCGTGGATGAACTCAGGGACCCCAGATGCTGGGACTAACGTGACGTGTGGGTCATAGGCTCACTGTGAAGGGCTGGGCCGGCCGGTCCACTTGCAAGGCAACATGACCAGCTCTGACTGAACAGCTGGGCTCCAGGAAGCATGGGTCCTGCCCACCTCTCTGTGCCGTGAGCTGGTTGGTGTCAGGCTGGGAAATAAACAACACAGAGTCTGTCCGTCCGTCTCGGGTCAGAGCGAGCCCTGGAAGCTGCCCGCGAGCTCAGGGAAGCCCTGCAGGTGGCTCGATGCTGTCCTGGCAGTGGCGCCCCCGGCAGTGTGTGGAGCAGGCTGAGGGCCACAGGAGGAGCCGGTTTGCCCCGAGCTCTTCCCGGAGATGGACGGCAGGGCAGGCCCATCCTCCGGCGGCGCACTGAGCGCGGCTCTCTCCTCCTCTCAGCCTGCAGGATGCTGGCATCGGGTTCATCCTGGTCATAGACCGCAGGCAGGACAAATGGACCTCGGTCAAGGCGTCCATCCTGAGAATAGCGGTAAGTGTCGGTAACCGCGCGTGTGCCCCCCACCCCCTCCTCCTGGGCGGGTGGCGCAGCCTCTCCTGCCGGCTGGCACTTTGGGTTCTGGCCTGTGCTGCTCGGTGGGGCACCAGCTCGGAGCACCAGCCTGGGGCCTGGGGCAGGGCCAGCCACCCCTCCCTGGGTTCCTCGAGTTGCGAGCACAAGTGTGTGTGCACGTGTGTGCATGTCTGTGCACGTGTGTGTGCATGCCTGTGTGTTCTCAAGTGGGTTACCACTCTCGGGGGCTGTGTTATAACTTGACAACCATCTCCCCAGCTGGTTTGTCTCTGACGCTGAGTATGTGAGATGCTTAGGACACACCGTGCCGTCATTCTCGAGGGAAACCTTCAGGCTACGAGTTTGGGGATTACATTGAATAGCTTTTCCTATGTGACCTTCTCCTTCTCAACGGGCTGTTTCTTCTTTAGTCTTAGACTAAGGCAGACTAGTAGCCGTCCTTGGTGGCCCTCATGGCCACGTGGAGACCCTCCTGGTCCGCAGACTGCAGGCGGAAGAGCCGCTGGTCTGCGCTGCTGCTGTGCTGTTTTTAGCCGCGGGAATAGCTGAAGTCAGCAGAAGGCCCCCAGTCTTACTTGCGGCGGCGGCTTGGCCCGGCTCCCAAGCTGGGTGCGGAGCGCTTCTCCCCGGCTGAGTTTCACCCACCCCTGCCTCCCCACAGCCAGAGGACCGGGAAGTTTGCTGCTCTGCAGGCAGAGTGACCCCGACCGACCCCCGGTGGGGGGACGGTCCCCCAGGCTCTTGCTCTGGGTCTTGTTCTGGCCTCTGAGGGGCTGTTGCTGTGCTGGGGTCTGGATGTGGCGGGAGAACTGATCCCTCCTCCTGGCTGCCTCGTTACTTCCTCTGAACAACGCTTCAGGCCCAGTATCTGCCCCGACGCTCACGACCGACAGGGTCCTGTGCAAACCCGTCCTGGGGCTGCCCGGTCCCCGCTTCGTCCTCCTGACAGAGCGACTCCCTCACCGCCCTGCCCCTGCTTCCCGTCCCCACCAGGCACGCACTCTCTACGTCACCGTTTGTCTGCAACAAGTCAAAACGCTTGAGGATGTTTCAAAAGCAGTGTATTCATGTAGTATATAAGTGTTTCATCGTCAGCTTTCCTTTGTTTTTAAGTCCTTAGAAGCTCACAGAGGACGTTGATGTACCACCCCCAGTTGACAGCCAGCACGTCCGTTTCATTATTTTAAATTTTAAAATAAATTTGCGCGTGACGTCACCTGACAGCCCAAATTAAGGATTAAATTGTAAAAGCCACTTGGGTCAGATGCACAAAGGACTTAACGACACATTTTTCTTGAATCAATAACTCAGTAAATCAGTCCTGAGCTGGCGGCCAAGAAGCTTCCAGTCAAGTGTGTTGCTGTTTTGAAAGGTAACACTGTTACGATAACATTTTCGAGTCCAGTAATCTGCCCAGTTCTTCTGCGTTTGTCTATCAGTGGTTTGAACCACCGCTCGGGCACGTCGTGGTGTGCACGGGCGTCTGAGTCAGGCGCTTTGCCGTGATGGTCACGGGCATCCCCGTGGGGTCCAGGCCTTGCCACACGCCACACCCTGGGGGGCCCTCACCCAGAGCCAGGGTGGCTGCCACCCATCCCTCCTTACCCCCCCCCCGCGCCCCCCCCCCCCCCCGACCCTGGAGCAGGGCTGCACTCAGTCGCTGCCTGGCCTCCCTTCCTGGGAGGATACCCTCATTCTCTGTCTGCACGCCATGGGCCCTCGAGGCCACGGCCAGCCCCATCCGCCTTCGTGTGGCCGGCACCCACCGGGCCCGGGCGAGACGGGAGCACTGTGAATCTCTCTCAAGCTGGTCAGCGACTCCTGGTCAGACGATAAGAGATTCTCCAAATGCAGTGTTGTTTTGTAAGAAACAGATACATTATTTTTAAAACCTGAGTAGTCATCGAGATCGCCAGTGGCCCCGGGTAGACCTGTGTAGGGTCAGGCTCTCCCGTGGCCGAGCGTAAACATAGCTTTACTCTTCATCCAGTTGTTTGTTTGCTTGGTTGGTTGGTTGGTTTTTTGTGCTGCATTGGGCTTCACTGCTGTGCGCGGGCTTTCTCTAGTTGCGGCGAGCGGGGGCTACGCTTCATTGCGGTGCGTGGGCTTCTCATTGCGGTGGCTTCTCTTGTTGCGGAGCACGGGCTCTAGGAGCGCGGGCTTCAGTAGTTGTGGCTCGTGGGCTCAGTAGTTGTGGCGTGCGGGCTTAGTTACTCCACAGTATACGGGATTTTCCCGGACCAGGGCTTGAACCCATGCCCCTTGAATTGGCAGGCGGATTCTTAACCACTGCACCACCAGGGAAGTCCCTTCATCCAGTTTATAATGAGATGAATTTCTGAAGAGAGCTGGCTCATCTTCAAAACTTTGTGAAAATCATAACTGAAAAGTTAGGGGCTTCCCTGGTGGCGCAGTGGTTGAGAGTCCGCCTGCCGATGCAGGGGACGTGGGTTCGTGCCCCGGTCCGGGAAGATCCCACATGCCACGGAGCGGCTGGGCCCGTGAGCCGTGGCCGCTGAGCCTGCGCGTCCGGAGCCTGTGCTCCACAACGGGAGAGGCCACAACAGTGAGAGGCCCGCGTACCGCAAAAAAAAAACAAAAAAAAAGTTAGAGTTTTCGTGTTTGCACTGATTCTTATACAATAAAAATATAAATTTTTTCTCCTGTAAGCCTTAGGGTTCCCAATACTGCCTTGGAACTGCCCAGAAGTTAGCACTTTTCAGCAGAATGGTCAGAAATTCTCTTTGAACTCCAGTGGTTTTTGTTACAAGAATTCACTGATCGTATTAATGCCAAAAGTTCTATTTATATATTCAACACATTTATTGAGACCTTAATGTGTGCCTGGCACGGTGGGAAGTGCTGGGGACAGGGGAACATAGCAGGAAATGTGTAGACTAGTGGAGTGCAGGTGGCTGACATCGTGACCAGGTGCCGGACACACACACAGGGCACCGGAGACGGGCAGGGAGGTGGCAGGGGGCCGGGCCTTGCCGCTCCTGGTCTGTGCCCCTCTGAGCTAGGCGCGGGGTCCGCGCTGCACCCTGGCTCTGTGGTGGGGACACAGCTGGCACCTTGTCCCCGTGCAGGGGAGCAGGAGGGGGCAGCGCTGGCCCACGACGCCATCCCCTGCTGTGGACCTGGACCGCCAGCCTCGCTGGCCTTTGCTTTCATCCAGGGGAGCTTGGGGGGAAGACCAGCTGGCTTCAGCTGGGCCAGAGCCCTTGAGGAGGGGACATCTGTTGGCACCGGCCCAGCCTGAACGATTCCACCATGCCGCCCAAGTGAGCCTGGGCGCTTACATAATGCGCTGAAATTTGGGGCTATTTTAAGCCGCCATGTGTGCTGTCTCATGAGCTGAGATTTCTGTACTTCGGGGTGTTCTTTTCCCTTTTTTTGAATGCCTTTACCTCAGCTTGGAATAGAAAAATAAGGCACTGGAGGGTCCAAAGTCCAGTGTCGCTAAAATCAGACTTGCCGTGTCCCCACCAAGAGCAGAGCCCGCGACAGCTCACCGGGTGTCAGTTTGATGTGCGTGTCTGCCTGTCGCAGCTCACGGTCACAACCCACGGATGAGACCCAACGCTGAGAGCTCGAACGTTGCTCTTTGCCCAACAGTTGGATCAAGGTTTGGACCATCCTCGGATGGATGTATCTTTCATAAAATACCGTGTATACTCTTCTGGGATTCCATTTGAAATTGAACCCCTTTTTCTAAATTACAGGAGTTCGTGGAGGAGTTGGGGGGCAGCTGGGGACGTGGCAGCAGAGGGCGCTGATCTGTGTTTGGTGCCAGCCCGACTCAGCTGAGTCCGTACCCTAGAGCACACCTTGCAGGAAATCACAGTGAGAGCTGTTTCTAGTCTGCGTGGGGCAGAGCTCCACTTTTTGCTTGTCAAGCCTATGCCTTCTGTGTACAGAAAAGGTACAAACTGAAGTATCTGAAGCACCAGGATGTTTAGGTCATCCGGTAAATATTCCAAATGTAGCAAAATAATATCGTCCTAAACAACGCTGGTGACTTCCTACCGTGCGCCAGTTACTAGAGGTCTAAGCGCAGCTTGTGAGCACCTCTAGCGCAGGGAAGGCGGGAGCAGAGCAAGCTCCAGGAGGGCTTCCCGGCTGAGGTGACCCTGCTGAGAGCTGGGAGGGGAAGGAGGCCTCGTCTGGGCAGAGGGGTGGTGATCCGCCCCCTCGGAACAGACGGGAAGGCGGGGGGCCAGGGCCTGGCTCCTTCCGAGGGGCCTGGGGCGCAGGGGGTGGAACACAGGTCACCGAGGGGGTCGGGTCATAGCACCGCTCTGGCTGAGGATAACGGACGGACCGGCGCCTTGGGAGGCCAGCGTTGACTCTTGAAGAGCTGCGACTTCTAAGATAAGTAGCTCAGCAGAGCTGCTCTGTGGAGGGGACAGGGCGCCTCCAGCCCCGGGCTGTGCGTGGAGAGGCCTTCAGGCAGCTTCCCTTAAACTCACCTGCGCTGCCGGTGGAGGCTGGGCTTCCAAGGGCCGAGGCCGCCTACGGATGGGGTCGGTGGCTGGGGGTCCGAGTCCAGGCCGGTGGGCAGTGCAGGTCCACACAGAATGTTCTGGGGGAGGACAGCTCCCCTGACGTGGGGAGCATTTGGTCTCATGATCGTCCTCTGACCAAAGAGATGCCCTTCCCACCGAGTTCTTCAATGTCTTTTCCATAGCGGTGTTTATGGCGGTCTCCACGCTGTCCACCAGGAGGTGGGGGGGTCTTAGACGGCCCCATCCTCAGTGCTCACACACAACCTGCGTGGGAGCCACCCTGGGAGCGAGGGGAGGCCTCTTCTCACGTCAGCCTGTCTGATTCAGACCCTAGGGTTTTCATCTGTTGGCACTGAGACACCAAGTTTCAAGTCTATATTCATCACACAAACTTGTGTTTTTTGACTGCTATCAGACAAGTGTTATTGGTCAGGGTTTGGCTGCTCTGTTTGAAATCAAGTGTATAGTCAGGCTGGGTAGATGTGACTTCGAGCAAAACTTAAGAAAGTAACATGCACATGCACGTGGGGAGTGTTTTCAAACCCCGTTCCCTGAGGCACCGGGGTTCCACAGAGCTTCTGCTGCGTTCCACTGCGTTTAGCTGTTTTGTAAATGTAGGTGATGTCTTTGCATTGTCTAAGGCTCTTAGAATAGTAATTCAGAAACCAGCCTCTTTCTCTGCCTCCAGATTACATTTTAATGGTCCTCGCACCACCTCTCTGTTCCTCAGCCAGTGAAGGTCAGCCTCAGAAGAGAAACACTGTTACTTTCAGGTTACATAGAAACTATTGTAATCACTTGATTACTGAGTAAGTTACAAAAAGATGTTATTTTATAGCCTTCATCCCAAATCTTCCATATAGTTACTCTATTTTTATTTATTTATTTATTTTTGGCTGCGTTGGGTCTTCGTTGCTGCGCGCGGGCTTTCTCTAGTTGCGGCGAGCGGGGGCTACTCTTCGTTGCGGCGTGCGAACTTCTCATTCTGGTGGCTTCTCTTGTTGCAGAGCACGGGCTCCAGGCATGTGGGCTTCAGTATTTGCAGCACGTGGGCTGAGTAGTTGCAGTGCATGGGCTCTAGAGCGCAGACTCAGTAGTTGTGGCACATGGGCTTAGTTGCTCCGCGGCATGTGGGATCTTCCCGGACCAGGGCTCGAACCCGTGTCCCCTGCATCGGCGGGCAGATTCTTAACCACTGTGCCACCAGGGAAATCCCATAGTTACTGTATTTTTAAAACAAAGTTTTTGTTTGGGAATTTCCCAGAGCTTTTCATACAGATGTTTGACTCCAAGGGGGAGAAAATTAATTTGCAGCCATAAATTATGATTTAATTTATAGTTGTGTGTGTCTCATTGAAGTGTTCCCATTGGGCTGGGATCTCACAGTTACTCTCTTCAATATAAAGACTCAATCATTTAGAGACACGGAAAGACTGAAGCAGAGGACAGGAAGGGGACAGTCTTCTCCACGTTGACGGGACGGTGAGCACGGCTGGTGCCCCTCCTCCCGGGATGGAGTGGGCAAGTCCCCCACCCTGGGTTTCCTGGCCACCTGCCCTGAGTGGACCTCAGTGAAGGACAAGGGCTCGTGTTACCTTGTAAGCTCAGACCACAGCAGCTGTGAGGTGCGAATCAGGGCAATAGAACCGGGCTGAAGGCTAGAGAAGTGTGACTCGGTGTCGCCTCCAGAAAGAGACGCTGAAGGCGGTTTTCCTGAGGTAGTGGACGCCGGTCTCACACCTGGTGGGGGGGCTACACGGCCCTCTTGCTGATGGGCCAGAGCCCCCCCGTCGGGATGCCCACCTTCTCGTCTCTGTCCACAACACTCAGCAGGCACCTGCTCGGGTGCTGGCACGGGGGACACGCAGTCCTGCCCTCCAGGGCTGTGACGGCGACACCCGGACACATTAGGGACTGTGGGGCAGGCGTGCAGGGGCTGCAGGGGGGAGGGGTGCAGGGAGGAGGGGCGGCAGGTGACGGAGGGGCGCAGAGGGGAGGGGTGCAGGGGGAGGGGCGGCAGGTGATGGAGGGGCGCAGGGGGGAGGGGTGCAGGGGGGAGGGGCGGCAGGTGACGGAGGGGCAGCAGGTGATGGAGGGGCGCAGGGGGGAGGGGCGGCAGGTGACGGAGGGGCGCAGCGGGGAGGGGCGGCAGGTGACGGAGGGACACAGGGGGGAGGGGTGCAGGCGGGACGGGCGGCGGGCGATGGAGAGGCGGCAGGTGTAGGGCAGGTGCGGCCAGGCTGGAGACAGGGTGTGGAGTCACAGTGGTGACCAGCGCCGTGTGCTGGTGTGCAGAGAGGCCGGGAGGTGGGGTTGAGGTGCCGGAAAGCTCAGCTTCCAGGTGGCCGCGCGCTGGGGCAGAGCACACCTGAGCGGACGTCTGGGGGGCTGTGGTTGACTCACGGGGTGACGATCAGTAGAGGGGATTGAGGTCGGGCTCCGTGAAGGGCCAGGACCCCGCCGTGGCCTGGGGAGGGTGGCTGGAGATCAGGCGCGTGGCGGCCTGGGCGGGAGGGCAGGAGGGGGACAAGGGGGCAGGCGTGCGTCGGCCACAGGAGCGGGATGGCGAGATCCAGCCCGAAGATGTGAGTCGTGTTTGGAGACAGAGGACGATGGCGCGGGGCTCCTGGGCAGACACGGAGGCTGAGCGCTCGCTGCTGGGGTTCAGGGTGGCCGCCCCGATGCGGTGGGAGGGCGGGCCCTGGGGCCGCGGGGCCACGGCCTCGCTGTGTCCCGTTCGGGGACAGGATAGCGGAATCCTCCGACGCGGGGCCGGGCTCCCCGGGCCTCCCTGACCCACCAAGGCGCCGGGCAGTGTCCAGGTGCGGAGGCTGGGGTGGGCGTGCGAACCATGTCGGGGGGTCAGGGAGCGCGGGGTGGGGGAGGGGGACTCTGGGCTTGTTCGCGGCCAGGCGGGGACTTGTGTGGCTGTTCTGGGCGGGGGCTGTCGTGGTCAGCTGACATCTCGAGAGGGTCCCAGCGCTTCTGTGGGGAGCAGCTGGGCAGCGTCAGGTCAGGGCCGCCGGCAGGAGTGACACTGCCCGCCCCGCCTGGCCGGGGAGCCCTGAGCCTGAGCGCCCAGTCCCAGCGGCCTCTCTTTCTCCTCCTTTTTCTCTCACTTGAGGGAGCGGTTCTCAGACCGAGGCCACCGGGTGCAGCCCCAGGGCCCTGGGCAGGCAATGCCCCTGTCTCAGCTTCAGTCAGGAGCAGGGCTCTGAACACTGCCTGGGCAGCAGAGAGCTCGGCCACCAGGACCGTGCGCTGAGGAAGGTGCTTTGTTATCCCCATTTGCACGTGGGGAGACCGAGGCACAGAGGTTAACCTGTCCAAGGTCAGGCACCTTGTACGCAGAGCTTACGTGAATGTGCGAATCTGCTCACGTGACCGTATCTACGGGTGTGCGCCTGGGTGTAAGCTTATCTTTAGCTCTGTTTTAGGTGATGCGTGTGTGTGTGTGTGTGTGTGTGTGTGTGTGGCTTTGTCTTTATTGCACAAGTGTCTTAGTTTCCTGGGGCCGTCATAACAGATACCATAGACCAGAGGGGCTCAAACGACAGGAATCTCCTGTCCCCCGAGTCTGCAGGCAGAAGTCTGAGATCGCGGTGTCGGCAGGCTGGTCCCTCTGCGGCTGCGGAGGGGTGTCTCTCCGTGCTCCCCAGCGTCTGGTGGCCTCTGGACACCCTCGGCCATGGTAGCCCCTGTCTCTACATCCATCCTCACACGGCGTCCCCGTGGGTCTCTGTGCCCAAATGTCCCCTTTGTATTTATAAGGACAGAGTCATGTCCGGTCATGGGCCTGCCCTGATGACCTCATCTTAACTCGGTCACCTCTGTGAAGACCCTAAAGACGTTCTGAGCCACTGGGGACGTGGACTTCAAAATAAGCAGCTGGGGGCACCAACTCAGCCTTAACAAGGGGTCAAAGCTCGTTTTTTTACAGTTTATTTTTTATTTTATTTTTAAGATTTTTATTGAAATATAGTTGATTCACAACGTTGTGTTCGTTTCAGATGTACGGCAAAGGGATTCAATTATACATATACATAAATATATACCTTCTTCCTTTACGTTCTCTTCCATGATAGGTTATTACAGGCGCCCCAGAAGGTCAGAGCTTTTGCCCTTGAAGTTGATAAGCAGCAAAGCACAGCTGTACCAAGCAGTGTGACTTTTGTGCTTTTCTGTAAGAAATGGTGATGCTCTAACAGTGCAGTGTCTGTAACCATTTCCACTTTAGTCCGACGTTGGCGTGCTGGAAATGCCCGCTCTGGTGGGCTGGTCCTCCCCGTTGGGACCGAGGGCCGGTGCGGGCGTGGGGACCCGGCTGGCAGCCGTGCTGCCCGCAGACAGAGCCGCAGCCCTCTGTCCCCTGCAGGCATCCTTCCCAGCAAACCTCCAGCTTGTCCTCGTCCTGCGCCCAACGGGATTTTTCCAAAGGACGCTCTCTGACCTCGCCTTCAGGTTCAACAGAGATGACTTTAAGATGAAGGTACCGGTAAGTGCTCACCTCCTGTGAGGAGTGGCCCGGCTCCACCTGGGCATGGGGGCGAGGGGGCCAGGGAAGTGGGTGTGAGCGACCCCCAGCTGCAGAGGGACCCCTTTCTCGCCTTCTCACTCCGGCCAGCACAGGGCAGCCCCTTTAAAGGCAGAGGTTGCAGGGATCCCTTAGAAGCTGTGCACCCAGGAAGCCTGCGTCCCCCCAGGGAGGCCGGCCCACGTTGAGCCAGGTACCCAGAGCAACCCAGTTGGAAGGGGTTGCCCGGCAACGCGCCCGTTACCAAGAGGACAGAGCCCACCCCCAGCACCTTAGAACCTCTCCAACAAGACCAGCCAGGTTTCTCTTGGAATCTGAGAATGCCGGTGTGGGTCACCGTCCCCGAGGTTGTCCCCTGCTCTCCGCGCTCAGGACAGAGGGTGCTTTGCCGGCCAGGGCCAGGTGTGCAGGCCACACTCAGCGGCCCTAGACCTCAGGCTCCAGGGTTTGAGGGGAAGGGGGTGCACCCGTTTTCGTAGCATCAAAAGCCTTGGTTTCTGATGCTGGGGGCAGGGGTCTGTGCTCCCCAGGCCGCAGCCCGGCCCTCCCTCCGCCGAGCCATCTCCTGGGCACCAACGTCTCAGGGACCCTGTGAGGCGGTGACATTTGCCCATATTTGGCGAGTGACCCTCGCTAACAAGAGACCCCGGGTCACAGGAAACAAGGCTGGGGTCCCACCCTAAGTGTGGTGGTTGCCCTGCACGTGGCCCCGTGGGGCTGAGCCCGTGAGTTCTCGAAACACGGTTTCACAGAATTCGTCGCCAGCATCTCCTGTTCCCTGGCCCATTTTGGATCATTCTTTAGAATTAGAGAAGCATCATCTCGGGAAGGCTGCTGCTACAGTGTGTCCACGTCAGTGTGCTGGTGCCTGTGCTGACCTCGGTGCTAAGTAGAAAACGTCCAGAGGGGCGGTGTGTTCTCGCCTTTTCTGTCATGGTTCAGTAGACACGAAGCAGGTAGAAGTCACGGAGGAAGAGTGTTAGGTCCTTGGATAGTGGACCGACCCGTCCCTGGTCCTGTTGGCGTGAATCAGGCTGACCTGGGGGAACGGCCTTGCCGGACGGCAAAGAGAGACCAGATACCTCCGCTGAGAACTGACATCGTAGCCTGTTCTTAAGTGAAAGTTATGTCTCAGTCGGGGGGCCTCACGTGGGCCCCCGACGGCGGGGCAGGTGGTCCTCCGGGTCTCAGTGGCACCCTGACCTCCCACGTCGGGATACAGTTGACCTGGGACGTGTCAGGTGTCCCCTCGGCCCCCAGCGAGCTCAGAGTTTAATAAAACACGAGGTGGTGTCGAGTGGCGCGTGGGCTGAGCCTCCCAGGACCTCGGCAGCAGGAACTGACAGCTTGCAAAGCAAAGGCTGTATTTTTATCCAGGCTCATGGATGGAATGACCTCAGAAGGACAAGAGCAAGATAGGAAGTAAAACTCATCCGTGTGGAAGAGCCTCCGGGGCCACCTGTTCTCCCCAAAGGCAGCTGTGCCGTGCTGGGCACCTACCCCGCCCCCGCGCAGCCTCCCGGTCTCAGCAGGAATGCGGACAGACCCGCGGCTTTGGGGTCCGTGCGGCTCCGTTAGCACGAGGGCCCCCTCACCCATCAGATGCCCGGTGTCGGCAGCGTGCCCGGCTCCATCCAGGTCTTTGCTCGACCCCAGCAGCGGTCGTCTGGTGAGACCGGTCATCGTACACTCGTCTCACGGATGGGAGAGCCGAGGCCCAGGGGGCGCCGCGCCCTGCCCTCCGTGGAGGAGCCGGGAGATGCCTTCCGTCCACGCCTGCCTCGGCCCCTCCGTCTGCGTGTGTGGGGCGCTCTGCTTACGGGCGGCTCTCATCCTCCCCAGGTCATAATGCTGAGCTCCGTCCCGGAATTACACAGCTACATTGACAAGTCCCAGCTGACCGAGGACCTGGGCGGGACCCTGGATTACTGCCACTCCAGGTGGCTCTGCCACCGCACAGTGAGTCCCCTGCGTCCTCCGTAACCATAGTCAATCCAGCAGGGCTGCTTTTGCCTTAAGGTGCCGCCTGTTCCAAAGACCTCTTCCCGTCTACCCGGGTTTTCTCCCCGAGGATGAGCAGGTGGTCTCCGTGGACGTTAGTCTGAAGGAGGAACGCGAGTCATGAGTCGGGACTGGCTTTCCTGGGCTCAGGACAGAGAAGAAAGAAGGAGAAGCACGAGCTGGGTTCTCGGCACTCGCCCTCCGAGGAGGGTGCAGAGCCCGTGTTTGTGAAGGAGCCGAGGCCGAGGCGCAGGCGGGGAGACGGGCTGGGCTGCGGCCAAGCTTCCAGGCGCGGGAGCCACAGCGCGTCAGCAGCTCCGTGAGGGTGCTTTCCTCCCCACCAGGCGATAGAGAGCTTCGCCCTCCTGGTTAAGCAGACGGCTCAGATGCTGCAGGCCTTCGGGACCGAGCTGGCCGAGACGGAGCTGCCCAACGACGTACAGTCCACGAGCTCCGTGCTCCGTGCCCACACGGAGAAGAAGGACAGGGCCAAGGTGCGTGCGCAGGCGGGTGGTGCAGGGAGGGGCGTCTGGGAGGCTCCCGAGCTGGCTGCCCTGCAGGGAAGCTGAACCTCCCTTCCAAGCAACGTCTCTGGTTGGCCCTGCCGTCCTGCTGCCGGGCCCTGCTGATCAGGGCAACGAGACAGCATCCCCGGCACCCCGGGAGCGGGGGGCGGACTCAGACGCCTGAGCCCGACCAAGTGGTCGCGGCACACAACCGGCGTCCTGGTCAACGCGATCGGGACTGTGCCCCCGAGGCCGCCGCGCGATGCGGGCTTTGAGTTGGTGGAGGCCGTGACCCACTGCTGGTGCTTGGCGGCCGCCCCCTACCCGCCAAGAGAGCCCTCACCCCGTCCGGCCCCCAGCGGCGGGCCACGGGAGCGGACACCGGGGGTCTGGTTTCCTGTTACCCTGTCCGGTCCCACTGCCTGGGAGACCCGTAACCCTAGCCCTTCCCCGTTCACGGTGGGAGCACCTCCCCAGCACTGCTGGGCGGTCAGCAGAGGGTCTGGGGGACAGGCGGAGGCCACCGTGTGCCCACCTGATTGTCGTCACCTTCACACTCCCCTGCGGGGCCGGGCGCCACGGAGCCCACCGCCGGGGGCCAAGTCCAGGGCCCGGCGGCCTGGGGTGATGGGCGGCGCGCTCTTCCCACAGGAAGACATGAGGCTGGCGCTGGACGAGGGGCGGAGCGTCCTGGAGAGCATCCGGGAGCCGCTGGCCCGGGGCCCGGAGCAGAGCCCGAACCAGGACCAGCTGGACAGTCAGAGCACCGTGCAGAGGTGAGGCCGGGGCCGGCGGGGTCAGGGCGGCAGCGCGTGACCTGCAGGCGCAGAGGCAGCTCACCGCTTCCTCGTGCCCTGAGCTGAGGTTGTGAATGACAGGCCCAAACGGCCACGTCTGCACCTTTTAAAACAACACACTCAGCACAACCACCCGCCCCAGGCGGCTCCGAGAGACCCAGGGCGTCGAGGGCAAGGGCAGGGCCCCGGGGGGAGACAGACCCCGGCCCCCCGAGCCCTCCGACTTGCCCCCTCGTGTGTGGAGGGCAGACCGAGCGCCCCGCCCGCTTGGCGCTGCAGGGGCCCCGCATGGCTGCCGTCCCCTCTCGCAGGCTCCTGGCCCAGCTGAGTGAAACCGAGGCCGCCTTCGATGAGTTTTGGGCAAAGCATCAGCGAAAACTGGAGCAGTGCCTGCAGCTCCGGCACTTCGAGCAGGACTTCCGAGAGGTGAGAGGCTGGGGCTCAGGGGGCCTGCGGGTGGGCGCCCGGCACTGCGGCTGCGGAAGGCCGCTGACAGCGCGCGGTGAGAACTGGCTCGTCAGCCACGCGGAGCCCCGCGGGTCCGCGGGATGGGCTTGGACGACATGAGCGATGAGTAAACCTTTGCAGGCGGAGGTCGTAGAAACTCTGTCCCGCGCCCTTCATCCTTCTCCATCACGGTTGTTTTAGCTGTTCTGGTTCCTTTGCCTTTCCGTGTAAATTTAAAATAATCTCGTCTACGAGACAAGATTTGCCACGAGGAAATCCTGCTGGGCTCTGTCAGGACCGGTGTTGAACCTGCACCTCAATCTGGGGAGAATCAGCGCCTTCACTGTGCCGAGTCCTCCACTCCGTGAACGCGCACGTCGGTCCATTTATTTCGATTTTCTTAGATTTCTTTCACCAGTGCTGTGTGGTTTGCAGGGTTCGGTGCGTGTTTTGTTTGATGTGCGTGTGCATGTTCCGTGTCTTGAGCAACTGGAGACGGCGCTGTGTCTTTAGTTTCGGCGTCGCCGTGCTCCTCGCTGTCTGTGGAGGTACAGCTGGGTCTTTGTGTGTTTATCTCGTCTCTGGAAACCTTGCTGAACTCAATCTGGGAGTCGTTGGGTAGCGTTTTGGGGTTTCTCCACATAGACGATCAGGTGACGTGCAAACAGAAACGGCTTGATTTCTTCCTGTTTGATCTGTATGTCTTTATTTGTTTATTTTTTAAATTGTTTGCCCCGTTGCCCGGAGGGAGCTTCCACCACTCGCGTAACGGTAGTGAGGGCGGGCGTCCCTGCCCTGCCCCCAGTCTCACGGGGAAGGCGTCTCGCCGTCGTTGCGCCTGTGGCGTCGGCAGTGGGGCCGCTGCAGAGGCTGCTTCTCAAATCGAGGAAGTTTCCCTCTGGCTCTGCTTCTGAGAGGGCTCCGGGCCCCGCCCCTCCTGCGCGCCCCGTTTCCGCGGCATATCCCCCTTCCTTCTCGGCCGTGGCTCTTCTCACTGCTCTCCCTGCCTGGTCTCTCACCCCCACTCCGTCGCAGGTCAAAGCCGCCTTGGACGTGTTGGCCCAGAAGATCGCGACCTTCACCGACGTGGGGAACAGCCTGGCGCATGTGCAGCACCTCCTGAAGGACCTCGCCAGCTTTGAGGAGAAGTCCAGTGTAAGAAGGGACGTGGGCGGCAGGCGCACGGCGGCCTGGGGACGCTGTGCTCAGTGTCACCGTCCCCGCAGAGGCCCCCGTCCCTGCCCTGAGCCCCGTGGGCAGGGGGAGGGGCGGCTACCTGGCCCACTCACCCCCACTGACCCCCGTCTCACCCTCAGTGACCCCCATCCCACCTCACTGACCCCCATCCCACCTCACTGACCCCCGTCCCAGCCCACTGACCCCCGTCCCACCCTCACTGACCCCCGTCCCAGCCCACTGACCCCCGTCCCACCTCGCTGACCCCCGTCCCACCTCACTGACCCCCGTCCCACCTCGCTGACCCCCGTCCCACCCTCGCTGACCCCCGTCCCACCTCGCTGACCCCCATCCCACCCCCGCTGACCCCCACGCCCACCCCTGCCGACCCCTGGCAGGAAGTGGTGCCCCTTTGCCCCAAGAACCAGGCTGAGCCGGTCTCTGGCGGCTCCACAGGCGGTCACGCAGCGGGCCCGCACCCTGGCCCTGGAGGGTGAGCGGCTCATCGAGCTGAAGCACTACGCCGTGGACTCCATCCGCCCCAAGTGCCACGAGCTCCGCCAGCTGTGTGACCAGTTTGCAGCTGACGTCGGGCGGAGGAGAGGGCTGCTGGGCAGGGCGCTGGATCTGCACGGCCTCCTCGAGGCGGTAGGCCCCCCAGCCCGGCGCACACACCCCACGCCCCGCCGTCCCGCGGGGACGCTCCTGCCGCGGGCTGGGCCCCAGGCACCGGTGAAAAACGGCCCTTTCCTGTGGCCCAGAAGGTCCCGTCCCAACACGGAAGCGTTTATAGGACTCGCCTGCCACAACTGGCCGTTTCTTTAAGAAACCCAGAGGCTGACTGTCCAGCCAGTTCCCTGCACTTGGTCCTCAGCGTGGGTGCGTCCCGTCCCGGGCGATTCACTCGGTTTCAGGCCTGCGTCCCCCAGGGGAGCCCTCTGGACATAGGGGCAGGACAGGGACGCTACGTCCTGCAGGTGGTCCCAAAGCACAGCGGTCAGTGGGCCACGGGAGACGCCAGGACAGCTTCCAAGGTGCCTTGTCTCCCTCCAGTCCATGAAGTGGTGTGACGAGGGCATCTACCTGCTGGCCTCGCAGCCGGTGGACAAGTGCCAGGCCCAGGACGGCGCCGAGGCGGCCCTCCAGGAGGTCGAGAAGTTTCTGGAGACGCGTGCGGAAAACAAGATCCAGGAGCTCAGTAAAATCTACCAGGACTACGAACCCATCCTCACCCGAGACCTGCTGGTGAGGAGACAGCCTCTCACCTGTTCGACCACGGGTTACTCTGATGATGCCCAGAGACACCGGGCGATCGGGGGGAGGAGAGCAGAGGGTGCCTTTCGGGCCAGACGTCGCTCCTGGGCCCCCCACGCCCCTACGGGGTCCCCGCCTGCGGGGAGGGCCCTTGCTCGGTGCCCACAGTGAGACGAAACCGGACTCCTCACTCGGCCGCTGTCTGCGCCACACCGCCGGCCGCTCGCCGGGCTCCAGGCCCGGGGCCCCTCCCCCCTCGGTGCCCCCCGCCTGCCAAGGGCAGCGCGGGGGCCACGTGCGTTGCGGCAGCTCTCGGGAGGTGTCCTGATGAGCCCGTCACCCCCTTCCCTGCAGGAGCACGTGCAGAAGGTCTTCCGGAAGCAGGAGAGTGTGGAGGAGATGTTTCACCGGAGACAGGCGAGCCTCAAGAAGCTGGCCGCCAAGCAGACGCGGCCCGTGCAGCCGGTGGCCCCCCGGCCAGAGGCGCCCGCGAAGTCGCCCTGCCCCTCCCCGGGTACGGGCGGTCGCCCCTCCCCCTGGGCAAGGCCCTCCTTCCCCCCAGCCCACTGCGTAAATGATAAAGTGTCATCGGCCCTCGGCCTGCTCATCCTGTGCTCGCATCCGTGCCACTCCCCGTTGCTGTGGCTGGAGGGGGACCGCCTGACTGTCGGGGCCTTTCCTGGGCTCATCCCGCCCGTCTGTCCTTGGCGCCGTAGCCGGGATGGTCTTCCCCTCGCGCAGCTCGGCCCTCCACCCCGAAGCCTCCTGGTTCCCCAGTGCAGCGCTTCTGGAAGGCACAGCTGGACGCGAGGCCTTTCCTAAGGCCCCTCCCATCACCTCATGTCGGCAGACGCGCTGCCCCAGCGCCAGCAGGGCTCCCGCTGCTTTCTACAGCTGTGGCTGGTGTGGGCCGTCGGCGCTGAGAGCCCCTGAGCCCGGCGCGCGGGGCCCATTCGGAGGCCTCCAGGCGCCGAGTTCTCCCCCGTCACCTGGGAGCTGGGCCGCACTGGGAAGTGGTGGACGGTGGGCGCCCCACGCGCCCGGAGCCCGTTTCCTTGCTCTGTACCTGACTGTGCTTTGGGCTGCTCGCAGCTTTTCCTCCAAAAGTTACAAAGACACAAGAGCACACCGACGGTCCTGGATGGGCTTTTCACCTCCAGGCAGTAGGGTGCGAGGTCCCACTCCTGTCCACTTCTTTCCAACCCAGGCATCCGGAGAGGCTCTGAGATCCACAGTTCTGAGGGCAGCGTGCTCCGGAGGGGGCCCTACAGGAGGGCCAGGGTGAGTGCCCGTCCCCGCCGCCCGGTCCCCTCCCTGCCCCCGGCCCCCCCGGCGCTCCTCAGTGCACACAGGCCAGCGCACCTGGGGGGCATCCTCTGCTCATGCCCCATCCCTCCCTCCGGGCCGCCCCATCCTGCCTGCGGGGCCTCGACCGGCAGGAGGTTGGGTTATGGAAGCAGGGCGTCCGGCTGCACCTTCTCGTCTCTGAAAGCGCGATGTGGGCCCCCCTTTCTCCCCAGAGTGAAGTGAGCGAGGGCCGGCAGGGCCGCGGCCGCTCCACCGGGGACGAGGAGAGCCTGGCCGTCCTGCGGAGGTGAGTGGCCTGCCTTTCCCCCCAGCAGGTCTGAGGACAAGCGTGACCCACCGGAGCTCAGCCCCTGGGGAGGGTCTGTACGTAAAGGAGCCAGAGGCGGTGGGACCAGAGGCCCGTGTTGTCCCTCCCTGAGCCCAGGGCACCCGGCTAGTGGATGCAGCCCCAGGCCACTCTCGCAGGGCCAGCCTCGGACCCACCCCCGCCGGCCCTGTCTCCTCGGGACGGGCCCCTCCTGCCGCCCACGAGCCTTTCCGATCCTCCGCTCCACGTGCTGGTGCCGGGCATCACTTCTCTTTCTTGGTCTCTCCCCACCGCAACCCTGCGGAGGCTCTGCTCGCCCCACGCCCGCCCTGGGCGCCCCGCATGCTCCAGCCCCACCCAGATGCCGGGAGAGTGTCTGTCCCTGCACGGACGCACTGCTGGGCTCCAAACTCTGGGCTGGGCAGGAAGGCACTGCCCACGTGCTTCCCAGGCTGGCAGTCGCTCTCCCGCAGGGCCCCTGCCTGCCAGCCGAGCTGGATCGTCCATAGCTCCACGAAGGCAGCCTGCACTCGGCGCCCTCCTGCGCCCACTCTGAAACCCTGCTCACACCCCACACTGCCCAGCCTCCCACGGGGACGTCCTCCCCGCCAAGCTCACGCCGCCCTCCAGCCCGCGGTGGAGAGGGAACCCGAGCCTTCCTCTCCCGCGACCTGTCCCACCCTGTGCGGAGCACGGGCACTTTGAACGGCGCCAGGGCCAGCTGACGTGCCGGCTGCCGCCTGCTCCACGATCCCCACCCTTGGCTCCGTTTTCTGTGCGTGAAAACAGGAAGCTTGGTCATAGGCAGTTAGAAGGTGGTCCTGGTCCGTAAGGCGAGGTCTGAGTGGCCGGTTTGCAAGCCAGGCCCTCCTGGGAGCCCTAACCTGACGGCACGTAGACGATCCCCAGAGGGTCACTGCAGAGCCGCTGCCTGCGGGCGGCCGGCGGGGCCTCGGGCACTGGGAGCCCAGGGCGCCTCGGGGGACGGTTGGGAAGCTGCCCCTGCATGAAAGCCGGCGCCCATCCGCAGGCACGTGATGAACGAGCTTCTGGACACGGAGCGGGTCTACGTGGAGGAGCTGCTGTGCATCCTGGAGGTGAGGCGCCGGCGCCGCCGCGCCGTGTGGTCTCGTGGCCACGACACGGCTCTGCCGACAGCCCAGGGCTGGAGGCCACTCGCCTGTCCGTCCCCAGGACGGGGCGCTGGCTGCAGGTGCACTGGCACTGGGCCGTGTTTGCGGCCGGAGAGGGCAGCCGTGCCTGACCCTCCCGGGGTGGGGGGCTGTTGCCTGGGGGCAGCAGCAGGGCTTCTGGGTGCGGGACTGTTCTGTCGTGGGGTGTGGGCAGTGGTCACGGGTGCGGACACAGAGATAACCCACAGGACTTGTCCTCTTCATGGAAGGTGTACCTGAATTTACTGAATTTAAAAAGGTTCAAAGGGAGGAGGATGGAGCCACCCTCCCTCCCAAAAAGATAATTGGTGCCGCTTCTAATTCACTCGTATTTCTGGTGCTGGTCCGGAGAGTCACCTTAGATGGTCAGTGAATGAATTTGAGGTGGATTCGATTTCTGAAGCCTGAGACAGCGTCACTTCCCTGCTTGGCGGCCACGTGGAGACCAGGCTTACGCGGGGCTGATGGGCCCGGGCTTCCCCGCTGACCCCTCCCCTCTCCGCAGGGCTACGCTGCTGAGATGGACAACCCTTTAATGACACATCTCATCTCGACGGGACTTCAGAACAAGAAGGATGTTCTGTTTGGAAACATGGAAGAAATTTACCACTTTCATAACAGGTCAGGCCCTCCCTCGGGTCGCCCACGGGCCTCAGGTTATGCTTTGCTGGGGGAGAAGATTCCTCCCTCCCTCTCAAGAGGGATAAGCGGACGGACAGCGGGTTCGGTAGGGCGTGCCCAGGGTAGCTCCCTGGGCGGCGGTGAGTTACAAGGGGCCGCCCACAGAGGGAGGAAGCGGGAGCTGGCCCCCAGGTGTACGCACTCGGCCCTTCTGGGTGACACCGAAGCCACACCCCTTGGTGAGGCCCCTTGCCCAGCCCGTCTCGAAAGGACGGCAACACCGCAAGTTCCTTCCTGCCCACCCTCCCCTCGTGGGAGCACCCGTGGCCTCTCTGTGGCTGTGGGGAAAGGGTGCGTGGTCCTCCTGGGCCCGCTCACCCTCAGCAGTCTTGGGGGCTCTCGGGGAAGATCCGTCTAGCAGAGAGAAGCAGATTGGCAGCATGAGCCTGTGGTCCTGAGGAAAGGCCGCTGTGCACGAGCCCCTCCTGTGCTGCCCGGCCCTCCCCTCCGCTGGACTCCAGGAGACACTGGGGCTTCTGTCTGGCCACTCACTTTCACCCTCTGTCCTCAGCCTCTGTCACCTGCCGCTTATAAAGGAGGTGTCAGGTCTCACCTGAGCCGCAGCCGGAGGCTTCCCTTGGGGATTAGAGTGAGCAGGTGGCCTGGTCCCCCTGCTCCCTCAGCATCCTCGCCCCGGCCTAGGGTCTCGGCCCGGCCTCGGTTCTGGGGCCCTGGAGGGATTTACCCAGTGGACAGATGCGAGTCAGGAACCTAGAGGAAAACTCAGCCCGCAGGCTCAGGGGCAGTGCTTCGTGGAGGAGGGTCCCGGGGGCAGAGCCAAGATCCCTGACGTCTGCAGGAAACCCGCAGAGCACACGGGCTGTGAGGGCCTCGAGATGCTCCCGTCTGCTGCTGTGGACTCTTCATCCATGTTTGTGCTGATGGAGCGTCTCCCAACTTCTGTGTGAGCGCAACACCAGAAACACAGCATCCCCACGGGGTCACGGCTGCATGAACCTGAAAGTCTGGTGCAGTCGGGACCCCAGGAGGGACAGGCGTGGCTTCAGGCCCCGAAATCAGGAGGCGCCTCCTTGCTCCCACAGCCTCCGCGGCCGTCCAGAGTCAGGATGAGTGCTGTCCAGAAAATGACGTCTGATGGTTTGTGACGGATGCCGTCTTGTGCTGGTGTTGTTCATGTGACCTATTGCAAACTTTCTTTGTCTAGAATATTCCTGAGGGAGCTGGAGAACTACATAGACTGCCCAGAGCTGGTTGGAAGGTGTTTTCTAGAAAGGGTAGGTGATTCTCAAATGCATACTTCGCCATGCCTTACCTCTTACAGTTACTCCTCGCGGTCATAATGGCTTTAAGTTCTGTCACAGTCCCCGTCTAACCAACCGGAATCACAAGTACAAATGTTTCCAGTTTAGCTGAGACGCTTTGTGGTAGGGCCAGAAGAATACAGTTTTGTCTGAAGCCAAATTAGTCCAAAAACAAGAGAGACTGTAAAGCATCAGCTCTGAGAGATGCCAGGATTACACAGCGTCTAGGTTTGGATTTGCAAGCGTACGGGTAGCTGACGCTCCTTCCTGCTGGGGTTGGTTTCGTGCTGGCCTTGCCGATCAGGACTCCCGCGCTCACCAGCTGACCCTGCACGTCACTCGTGCTCTGAAGTTGTAGACGCGCTCTCCTTCCGGCGGGACGATCGCTAGCGTGGGGGTTTGTGGCGAGGCTCTGGGAGCGGGAGGGGATGCGGGATGCAGGATGCGGGATGCGGGATGCGGGATGCTGTCTTCCTCGACCCGGCTGCATGGATCCCGGTGAACTGCTGACTCAGCAGCAGGGGGCGCACTTCCTTCCTCTCAGTAGTGAAAAGGTCGCCTTCACAACGCAAGCCACAGGCCGAGGCTCCCTGTCAGGAATTGGCATCGAGGGGCAGAGGGAGGAAAGAAGGGGCCATGTTTGTGCCCCGCTCGGCCTGGCCTTGGGGAGCGCCTCCCTGTGCTCTCTGAGAATCGGGGCTGGGGGAGCACCGCGCCGTGGCTCGGGGGACCCGTGAGCGGTGCAGGCTCTCAGGCCGCCCCTGGCCTGCGGAACCCGGAGCGCGGGTGGAGGCGGCAGCCACTGTTTTCTCCAGCCGCTGGCCGTCGGATGCGCACGCAAGCGTGAGCACCACGGTGTAGCTGAGCCCTGGGGAGCCTTTCTTTACAGAGTCGGTGCTGGTCCTGCATTTCTTTTCAGTCTGTTATCTCTGAGGCCAAAGCCAGCCGTATGGACCTAATCTTTTATAAAAGAAGTACCCGGACTAGGGCAGCCCTGAGAACTGAACTTCTGGGGGGCTGTTACCTGGCTGCCCGCCAATGACAGCTGTGGCGTCTGAGATGGAGACGTGACCCGGATTCCGGGGGAGTCCAGGCTGGTCCCGGAGGTGCCGTGCGTCCTGGCGCGGAGGGGCGTGACTCAGCGGCGGGGTCAGCCCACCTCCGGGCGCTGAGGTCCCCGTGAGCGCAGAGGCGCCCTGCGACTCGGCCCCTGTCCCGCTGCAGATGGAGCAGTTCCAGGTCTACGAGAAGTACTGCCAGAACAAGCCGCGCTCCGAGAGCCTGTGGAGACAGTGCTCCGACTGCCCGTTCTTCCAGGTGTGTCTCCTGGCTCCCTTGAGCGGGGACGTTCCTTTACTGCTTGACTCTCAGACAAGGAAGAGCGTCAGCCGTCTAAGGCAGAGGTTCTGGTGGTTGCAGGAATGCCAGAAGAAGCTGGACCACAAGCTGAGCCTCGACTCCTACCTGCTGAAGCCAGTCCAGAGGATCACCAAGTACCAGCTGCTGCTCAAGGTGAGAGGCCGGGCAGCCACACCTGGCCGGGCGTCCCCCGGAGCCCCCTCCCCGCCTGGCCCCCCCGCCAGCCGCACACCATTTAGTGGCGGCCGCCCCGACCCGTCCCTGAACCCCGTGGTCTCTGGGCACCTTCTTCCCGTCTCTGCGAGGCCCTGGCTCTTCACACGCCTTTGTGGAGGGCCTGTTGTGCGCTGCCCATTGTCGGGCATCAGGGACACAGGGGGCAACAGGCGGGCAGACCCTGCCCCACAGGGCACATGCGAGGCTGCCTGTGTCCTGCTGTCTTGGGGGCCCAGCAGAGCAGATCCCCGAGACCTGAGAATGGGTGTGAAGAGCTGTAACAGATGTTCTTCCGGGGTTCAGATCTGGACGGAAAGAATAAAGGCTTAGAAGCGGGGAGACGGGAGCTGCAGCGGGGGTGGGGCTGGGTGCTCGCCCAGGCCAGGCGCTGTGAGGGGCCTGCCCTTGCCCAGCTCAGGGACAAGCCCGATCTGCAGCTGCGAGGGCTGGGGTGTAGGCCCGCAGCGGCCGGGAAGGTGGCTTCCTGAGGCGCTCTGGGGCCAGGGGCTCGGGCAGGCCCCCCGGCGGGGGGAGGGCGTGAGTGTCTGAGTGCGTGTGGGGTGTTGTCCCCACCGGCGACGACTGCACACGGGTCCCGAAGGTTGGTGCCCGGGGCTGCCCAGGGCCTTCACCTGTGGGGCAGAGCACGGGCATCCCAGCCGCTCTCGGTGGAGTGGCGGGGTTCAGTGTCCAGACGGGCGTGGAACCTCCCCCAGGAGATGCTGAAATACAGCAAGAGCTGCGAGGGGGCCGAGGACCTGCAGGAGGCCCTGAGCTCCATCCTGGGCATCCTCAAGGCTGTGAACGACTCCATGCACCTGATCGCCATCACGGGCTATGAGGTGAGGCCCCGACCCTGTCCTGCAGGGGGAGCCCACGAGCCGGCGGCGGGGCCTTAGGCCGTCCCGGTGCCAGCGCGGGCCCTACTCGCGCACCCCCCAGCACGCCGTCAGACCCGGTTCTGGCTGGGCCGCGGCCGCCCTGCACGCGGCTCACCAGCCTGTGCGGAAGCCAGGGCGCTTCACCCCGTGGCTGCACCTCAGCGCAGAGGCGGCTCCGAAAACACCTCCCTCCCGGCCTTTCCCTGAACCCGTTTTGTTCTCGGTGACGCCCGTGTGGGCGCGACCTTGAGACCCCGCCTCCTGGCCCTCTGCTCCCGCGTAGGCCGCGCACGGTTCCTGTCCTCTCTGTAAATCCACTCAGCACTCGCCTCTGTTTTTTCATTAATAGACTTTCTTTCTGGAGCAGTAGCGGGTTCACAGCAAAACTGAGGGGAACGCGCAGGGGTTTCCCACCCAGCCACCCCCGTCCGGCCCGCCCCGTGGAGTCGGGCATTTGTCCCAGCCGACGGCCTCCACTGGCGTGTCGCCCAGAGTCCACGGCCCACGGCAGGGTCACTCTGGGGGTTTGGACAAACCGATGACCTGTGTCCCGCACGGTAGCGTCACACAGAGCAGCCCACTGCCCTAGACACCCCTGGGCTCCCCTGTTCATCCCCGCAGACCCCCTGCGACCCCCGACCTTTCCAGCACACCACAGACTTGCCTCTCCCGGGTGTCGGGCCGTTGGACCCCGCGGGGTGCAGCCCGGCCTCCCAGACGGGCTCCTCGGCCGCACGTGCTCTGGGCGCTAACTGCACCCCACGCCACCGCCTTTAGGGGAACCTGAGCGACCTGGGGAAGCTGCTGATGCAGGGCTCCTTCAGCGTCTGGACGGACCACAAGAAGGGCCACACCAAGGTGAAGGACCTGGCCAGGTTCAAGCCCATGCAGCGCCACCTGTTCCTGCATGAGAAGGCCGTGCTCTTCTGTAAGAAGCGGGAGGAGAACGGCGAGGGCTACGAGAAGGCCCCGTCCTACAGCTTCAAGCAGTCCCTGAACGTGAGTGAGGCCACCCCGCGGAGACCCTGGGGCCCCCGCTGGGCCGCGACACCCACCTTCTGGAGCGGGGGGTGCCCTTGCCCGGACGCCTACCGCCCGCCCCGCCCTCACAGATGACGGCCGTCGGCATAACGGAGAACGTGAAAGGGGACGCGAAGAAATTCGAGATCTGGTACAACGCCAGAGAGGAGGTGTACATCGTCCAGGTAGGCCCCGCGCTCTCGGGCCAGGCTGCGGGCTCTGCCCAGCTCCGTCAGGACCGCCGGTGAGCGTCTTCTGCTGAGAGCTGCTGTCTGGAATCTTCGGAAAGCTCTATTCCCCGGAGGCCAGGGCCCCGCCATTCGTTTGGGGCTGCCCTGGGCCGTCAGTCACTAAGCTGAGCCCGGGACAAGGCACAGGGACGCCGCGGGGCAGGGGTGCCCCAGGTGCCCTGCCAGGAAGTGGGCTCCTGGTCCCCGGACGGCGGGGGGTCCCGGCCCGCCTGGGCCAGGCATCCTCGCTGCCGCGCACGACCAGGCGCCTGCAGGGAGCGTGTCCTCCTCGCTCGCCGGTGATGGCGGGAGGTGGTGGAGTGTAAGTTCGCCCATGAGCCCGGGAGAGACCCCAGCCCGAGAGGGCGATCCGGCACTGGGAGGTGCCTCGCCAGTTGCCCTTGACCGTTCTGACGCCCTTGGCGGTCTGGGCCTGGGGGCCCTGGGGGTGTCGCAGCACCGCAGCGTGGAGGCCCCGGTGACCTGCACTCTTCACAGCTCACAACACCCAGGCTAGCGCGGCCGGCCGAGGGCCCCACAGAGCTACAGCGGGAGCGGCCAGGGGCTCAGCCGGCGCCCCGGCTTTGCACAAGCCCAGGGTCCTCAGGGCCCAGCCGCCCGCCTGCACTGCCCTCGGGCCCCAGGCAGAGTGGAGGTGGGGCAGCAGCCCGGCCGCGCTGGTCCAGCTTCTGGTCCACTTGCGGGATGTCAGACGCCCGTCGTCCTTGTCAGCTAGGGAGACGTCAGGGCCGCATCCCAGAGAAACACTCTCGGGGCAGGCCACGTTGCAGGGGCTCCCACTGAGTCAGAGTCAGAGGCCGTGCAGGGTGCTGGCGTGGGGTCCGTGCACCGGCACCCGCGGGGATGCCGCCCCGCATCGCGAGCGTGGCGCCGTCAGCCCCGATTCTGAGGGGCCCGGGCGCCTGCAGAGTGAGACCCTGACGCGTCCCTCGGGAACACACGCACTCACCTTCCGGTCTGCTTTGGCGGCACAGGCACCAACTCCTGAAATCAAGGCCGCCTGGGTGAGCGAGATCCGGAAGGTGCTGACGAGCCAGCTGCAGGCGTGCAGAGGTGAGGGCGCGGCCTCTGGGCTGTCCCCCGGGGGCCCGTTTATGTCCCGCAAAGCCTCCTCGGGATCCTTAGCCATCTGAGGCACCGCGGTAGCACCTGGAGGGGAAGGTGCTGGACTCGCGTTCCTGAGCCACGCTGGGCTCTTGTCCCCGCAGAGGCCAGCCAGCACCGAGCCCTGGAGCAGTCCCACAGCCTGCCCCTGCCCGCGCCCGCCGGCACCAGGTGAGGCCCAGCCGCGCGTCGGGGGTGTCACCAGTGGGAGCCAGCCCGTGCCGCTGGGTCTCCGCGGCCTTGTCACCGAGCCTCCTGGTCATCGGGGTCGCTCTGGAGAGCGTCCCTGGGGTCGCATGCTGCTGGGTCAGTCCCGGCAGGTCAGCGTCAAGGCGTGTGCCTCTAGCCCTAGCCCCAGCCCAAGGCCCGTCCGCAGCATCTCTGACCGTTTTCCATCCGGGCGGTATTTCCCATCACGATCAGTGCGCGGCGGGCGGCTGTTCCAGAGAGCAGTCCAGCGCCAGCACTGCAGTGACGGTAGTGTCCCAGGTGGGCAGGGACCCCGGGCACGGGAGGCTCAGAGCCAAGGCCGAGGCCCATGGCTCGCAGACAGACGCAGGGTCACATTTCACGCTGGCCTCATCGTACCTTTTCTGCCTTTATTTTTCCTTTGTTATTTTATTCATTCACTTACTTGTTTACTGTTTCTTATGTAAGCCACGTCTAATTATTCATGGTTGAAATAATAATGATGCTCTAATAATGATTAATGGTCTAAATAAATAAACCACAGAACAATAGCTTTAAAGGAGAAAGGGCCCCCCCAGGGGAAAGAAAACAACAAAACCGCCTCCTACTTAATAGTCAGGGAGGTGGGTTTTGTTCTCACTTGGCTCCGCCCAGAGTCTGGACATGAGTGGCCGTGGCCGTGGCCCTGCGGCGGGAGACACGCAGCCCGAAGGCCTGGGTAGAAGCTCAGGGAGGTCTCCACCCTCCTCCTCACAGACCTTTGAACGCCAACCAGGCAACAACATTCTCTTTCTTTTTCCATGTGTCTGATGTCCTTAGTCCCTCTAAAGGGAACACAAAAGACGTCAGAAAGTTGGAAGAAAGAAAAACGGACCCGCTGACCCTGGAGGGATACGTGGGCCCCGCGCCACTGCCGAGGCCCCCCGAGAAGGGCAGAGGTGAGTGTTGGGGCCAAGCCCGGAAGTGCCGGGAGCCGCATCGGGGGTCCGCGGCGGGCGTGTCAGGGCCTCACAGCCCCCGGTGGGCACAGGGAAGGTTCACGGAGAGCGCGGGGCCCGGCCGCCTGCACAGAGCACAGGGGCCTGGGCAGGGGGCCCGGGCGTGACCGCCTGCCCTCTGGGGCCGCCCGGCGCCCTCTGCACTGCCCTCTCTTCCCCGCAGATGACGCGGTCACTAGCTCTACTTCAGAAAGCTCTGCGCTTTCCAAAAAGCGCTTCACCCTGCAGAGCTTTGCTGCCCTCAAAGGTCAGAAAGGTAAAGGTGCCCGGCCCCGGCCGGCCGGCGGGCTTCTGGGCGGGTCGCGCCCATGGCTGTCTGTCATCCATCCGTGCCGTGCTCATCCGTGTGGACGGTCTCGGGAGGGGCATCTGCCTCTCGCGTGGGTCACCAGGCACGCGTCTGCCGCTGAGTCGCTCTTTCCCTGACGCTGGCGGGTCTGTCATTCGTGCAGCCAGGGCTCTGTTTTCAGGGCCTTTTCTTTGCAGAGGTGGAGGTGAGCTCTTCTGACAGAGGCCCGCCTGCCAGGAGCTGGGACTGTCCTTTGCTTTTCTGGTCCAGCTCCTCCCTTTCCTGCCTTTTCCCGTGGGGTCCCCGAGGGCATTGCTCCCCCTGCCAGAGTGCGAGGCATCCGCTTCCCTCTGGGCGTTTCTAGTGCACAGGCGGGTTCAGAACACCCGATGGAGGTCTCTAAGAGCTTGCCTGGACTCCTGAGCAGTGAATATGGGGGAAATACGCCCAGACAGCACAGGAGGCCAGCCCTGAGGTTCCAGGCGGGTCGCTAGAGGACTCCCTTCCCGATTCTTGTCTAGAGGTCTTTTCATTGGTCCAAATATTGGAGGGTTTTTTCTTTTTTTCCCAATTTATAAAATACTTTTAAGTTGACCTCAAACAAACAAACAAACAAAAAGACGGACAAATCCCGGTCCTTATACCTTGCTGGGTTTGGCGAGCATGCGTACTGGGCATGCTCTACGTGGAGCTCAGAAAAGAAACCAAGGGGCCGCTTACCTAAAGCTACGATGCCGACGCGGGGCCGTCACCCGCCCGTCTCCCGCTCCTGCTCTCCTGGGCCTCCCCCTGGACCTCTGGATCCCTCCGCCAGCTGAGCTGTGTTCCCAAGAAGCTGCTTTCTGAGCCACTGGAAAGCAGCCTGTTGCCGCCGTGTGTGTCTCACCCCAGCATGAGCTCGCTGTGTCTCCTGCCCCCTTGGTGCTCCGCTCGCTCCTCACTCCGTCTCTCCCGTTCTGTCTCTGCTCTTCCTCCTTTTGCAGCCTCTCCTACCAGTCCCGACAAAAAAGCTAAGCGACACCAAGTAAAGAGCGACCCAACGCCTTTTGGTTTACGAGGTAGAGTGGCTCCGCCTCCTGGACTAGCCTGGCGCCATTTCCCCATCCGGTTAGGGACCCTGTCTCGCCATCTGAGCTGCCCAGTGAAACAGGTCCCTCCCAGCCAGGAGCACAGTCACTGTTTTGTTCAAAGCCTGACGCTCCGGCCACAGGTACCGTGGTGACGTCACGCTTCTCGGTCCGAGGCCTCAGGCCAGGTGTGCCCAGAATGCGCAGAGCTGCCCACGGGCCACCAGGTAGTAGCTGCTGACACCTGGCTGGTGCCTGGGCTGGGCTGGGCTGTCTTACTCAGTGGCTGCAGGGCTCCACGTCCCAGGCCCATCCTTCCTCACCGTTTGTCCCCATGCTTCTGGGGACGCAGACAGATGGGGTGAGGTTCCGTATTGGAACTCGGGCCTTTGTCTCTCTTGCCCTCATATTCTGAGGGCAGAGCCCCCCCCAGGGAAACCCAGAGCCCCCCATCTCCACCCGGCCCAGGTTGAGGGTCTAAGGCTCGCAGACAGGGTTTCACTCTGTGAGCTATCCCGCGCTTCCAGACCATGTGATGGTACTGCCGGGCCAGATCCCGTTGCAGACCCCCCTCGGGCCTCAGTCCACAGTCCGCGCTGCAGGGACCCAGGCTGCAGGGACCCAGGGCTCTTCCATGGGCAGCTGGAGAGCCCAGAGACCCACCCCTACCCCAGCCTGCACCCAGCCCTGCAGACGGAGCCCCAGGCACTTGGGAGTAGAATCACCTCCCCACCACCGTCTCCGTCTCCGGGAGGGGCTGGACTTGGCCATTAGTGTTCCTGCTTAAGGCCCAGAGGTGCCCGAGGCATCTCTCTGCTTTGCTGACTCTCCTTGTGTGGGAGGCTGCAGTCTACTCCCTTTGAGCCCAGTGTGTCACCTCTGCGAGCTCCTCTGCTCACCTGAGACAGGTGAGGTGACCTCATGTCCTGGTAGATGAGTGTTAGGGCCTTGAGCTCAGGCCCAGCTGCCAGCCCCCCTCCCTCCCTCCTCCTCCCCCTCCCCCAGCCCTCCCCCTTACTCCCTCCCTCTCCCCCTTACTCCCTCCTCCTCCTCTCCCTTCCCCCTCTACTCCTTCCCCCCTCCCCTCCCCTCCCTCCTCCCCTCCCCTTCCCCTCCCCTCCTCCTCCCCCTCCAGCTCCTCTCCCCTCCTTCCCCTTCCTTCCCCCTCCTTCCCCTTCCTTCCCCCTCCTTCTCCCATCCATCGGAATCACTTCAGTCCACAGCAGGTGACAGGGAGCTGCAGGCCGTCCTGGCTGGCACTCTTGAAAATGCCAAGTGCTTGCTTCCTGGAGTTGCATCAGCCCCTTGTTTTTTCAGTATCAGTGTCAGCGACTCTTTTACTGGAACGAGAGGTGACCGTATTCACGGTTCCTTGGCCTGATGTCCTCCTCGAAGCCCCCAGCATCCTACGTGGATTAAGAGCGGGCCACGGGGCTCAGTATCTCATGCTTATTCCTGTGTCACTGTGTTGACACAGGGACCGTCCCACTTCTTAGCAGAGGGTCACTCAGAGGCCGCGGGTGGCCGGGTGTGACCGAAGGGCAGAGCCGTCTGTCCACGCAGCTCTCCAGTGAGGGTTTACACACCTCATTTCCAGGGGCTGCCCTCTGCCCAGGCAGCAGCGTCGTCCTTCTGCCTCCGCTGTCCCCCTTCGGACACATGCTTCCATTTGGCCGGGAGCCCTGTGTCTATCGGTGCTGGGCTGGAGGGTGGACATTTGTGGCCAGCTGCCCGGCGCCGGGGCCCCTGGTGACCCCCACCCGGCGTCCGTCTGAGCTTCCCGCCCTGGGCGGCTCCGGACGTGCCGAAGCAGGCGGCGAGCGTGGTTAATGGCTGGCAACCCACGGTCCCCGCTTCCCGCTTCCTGCATGGATGCCAGCCGCCGGGGGCCAAGGGTCGTGCTCGCCACCCCTGCCCGGCTGGAGAGGCGGGGCCAGAGGGTCTCTGGGCGCCAGGCCTGGCCTGGAGCAGGGGCTCAGTGCTCTGCGGGCTGCGGGGGGCGGGGATCTCTGGGTCCCAGCTCCCTTTTCTGTGAAGACAGAGGCAGCTCCCTGACACCGCTTTAACACAAGCTTGTCACTGCCAGCCTTCAAAGTGTCGGCCTTGGGACAGCTGCCCCTCTGTCTGCACCCTGACTGCAAGGGGTGGGGGGACATGCAGGCATGCATTCTGCCCTTGTCCACGTGGTTCCCTCACTCCCTCTCTCCCAGGAGAAGGTGTGCTTCTGGCCACACCAGCTGGAACTGGGGACTGGTTCTGGATCCGCTCCCCTCTTGTCGAAACGCCACCTCACGCGGAGCGGCGGCTGGGCTCCAGAGCCGCAGGCGTGTGGCTCCGGCCTCGCGCTTCGTTCGTGACACTTGCTGTATTTCTCCACGACGCACTTGCACTCTCCCCCAATGGGAGATGCAGCAGCTACTCTTTGGGGACACAGGGCAGTAGAAGGAATGTTTATGTAGTTTATAAAACCCGGAGGAAGCTTCTTTCCCCGCCCGTGACCCGCACAGGGTGGCCCCCTCCCTGGCCTGGGCGCTCCTAGCACCCAGCATCGTGAGGAGCTGTTCTCCCGGCCGGCTGATGGGTGTTGAGAGTTGCAGGTGTTGATTAAAAATGCCTTTCCCTCGTCGTTTGCCTCGACACGGGACGGGCGGTTGTCACCAGCTTTCTGGTGGAGGCTGGGGTTTGTTTCCGGCTGAGGAAGCAGGTGCTGTGGCCCAGGTCCCCTGGGCAGCTTGCACGGTTGAAGCGGAAACCTGCGGGTGTCCGGCCCGCCTTTACGCACCGCTGGGAAGGGCAGGCTCCCCCAGCCGACACGTGTGGGTGGCGGGGATGTGCATAGGCCGCCCTCGACCTTGAGGGGGACCTCACTGGGGCCTGGTCCTCTCTAGGTTGGAGCAAAACGTCTAACCCGCCAGAGGCTCCTGAGGACAACGACGGCTGGTCCAGCGCCGAGGAGCCGGTCAACTCCTCAGACGCAGAGGAGGAAGGGAGAGCGGGCCTCAGGAAGCTGGTAACCTTGGCTGCCACCTGGTCCCGGGGGCAGGGAGCCAGCAGTGCAGCTCAGGGGGCCGCGCCTCCTAGGGCTTAGGGAGGACCTTCAGGTGCCAGGGCCCCTTGGCTGTGTGCCCGCCCTCCTGTAGTTCTCACCAGGCCACCTCACGGCGGACAGTGCACACCTCTGACCTGCCCCTCAGAGGAGCTTTCTTAAAGCTGCGTGTGTGCCGCCGTCTGTTTCAGAGAATCGCACTGTCTGAGGTACGGATTTGCTTCCTAAACAAAGTCCTGTTTTAGCACGAGCAGCAGAGGAAACTATTTATATATTAAGTCATCAGAGTCAGGACGGTAGCAACAGTTATTTGCTGCCCGCTCAGTGCTGCCCTGGTCCACACCTGGTTTATCGCAGCGAGCAAAGCACCCCAGAGCTGGAGGGTTAGACACAGGTAACTGGAGGAGAGCGCAGGGAGAGTCTCGAGTGGCCAGGGCAGCCTTTCCCGAGGAGGCCTGAGGGTGAGAAGAGCCGGCCAGGGCGTTGCGGGGCCAGTGGGGGAGCCTAGGCAGGCGGGCAGGGAGGCGGGCAGGGAGGCGGGCGGGCGGGGAGGCAGGTGGGCGGGCGGGCAGGCCTGCTGGTTGCATTCCGCTCGCGGTGCAGCAGGAGGGTGCGAGGTGCTGCTCAGGGTGTCCAGAGGGTGCAGCTGCTCCCGTGAGGGTAACGGACACCGGCCTGGCTTTCCCTGCTCCCAAGCCTGGTGGCGCGTGACCCCTGCACAGTTCAGGGGCTCCCAGTCATGTGTCTCGCTGCCCGTGAGGCCGCAGCCCCACAGTCCAGCAGAATGGCCTCCCCTTCTCAGAGTCCGCGTCGCGCAGCAGCTCCGTCCACAGGTGTGCTGAGCACCTGCTGTGTCAGGCACTGAAGGCAAACAGGGGACAAGGACAAGAATCCCCCCTCTCCTGGGGTGAAAGACTAGTAAAAGGCAGAGCGTGTGCCCTGAGGGCAGAGGCGTGACCCAGTAAGAGGTGCAGCAGGTGCAAAGGCCCTGCGGCCGCAGGAGCTGGGTGTGGTGTGAGCACTGGGGCGCAGCCAGGGGCACCGCACAGGCTGGTCAGGTTTAGTGGTCGCCACGTGAGACCGAGCGTCTCCCTGGACGAGGAGACCTTCCCAATGTAAGGCCATAGTCCCACCGGAAGCTCTGCGAATGGCAAGGCTCTCGTCCTTCCCGGGACGCTGGACGCTGGGCACCGGCAGCTGCGTGCCACGTGGGCCATGCGCCCTGCCGTCCCCTCCCCAGGTCCCCGGGAAGTACACCGTCACGGGGCTGGACGAGAAGGGGGGCCCCGACGCGCTGGTCCTGAGGAGCGGGGACGAGGTGGAGCTGGTGCAGGAGGGCGACGAGGGCCTCTGGTAAGACCGCCCGCGCGCCCCCCCGCAGCCCGCGCGCGCTACCGCACCCTGACCGCGCCCCTTGCAGGTTCGTGCGGAACGTGAGCTCCGGCGGCGAGGGCTGGCTGCCAGCCCGCAACCTGTCCGCGCTCCTCGGCCAGCGCGGCGCCCCCGGGTGCCTGAGCAGCCCAGGTACGGGCCGCTGAGCAGCCCAGGCGCTGCGGCGAAGGCGGGGCCGGGATCGGGGCCAGGGGCGGGGCCAGGACGCGCGGCAGCCGCTCGCCTGCTTGTCCGCAGAGTCCAGCGCGGGATCCGCCCTGCTGAGCGCCTCGTCCAGCTGCAGCGAGAGCTGCGCGGCCGCCCTCGCGGACCTGCAGGGGTAGCGCCGCGGCCACCCCGCCTGCGGCCCTGGGAGCTGGCCTCTGCTCGGGCCGGCGTGGCGTGGGGAGGGGCCGGCGCCCACAGAACCGCCCACGGAACCCCGGAGCCGCCGCGGCCCCAGACGAAGGTTCGGGAAGAGTCCGCCCTGCGGCCTCGGCGCCGGGACCGCGCGCGCGCGCGCCCCAGGTCGCAGGAAGAGCGCGGCACCGCGGCTTCCTCGGGGAGTCGGACGGACGGGGCTGCAGACGACAGACCTCTGGTGCAGAAGGGCTCCCGGGACTCCCCTTCGGCCTCGGCCGCAGCCGCTCCCCTTTGGTTTCCGACGTTTCTGGTCCGGTGCTTTCTGCAGGAACACGCGTTCTGTGGAGCTGCTTCCAAAAGAAGTGACCGATTCACTGACCCAGCGGCTTGGTGCGGGGGCAGGAGGCTCGTTTGTCTTATACACATTTTTTTTTAAAGCAAGGATTAATTCTACGGCCATCTTTTTGGTGATACTTTGGCCTCTGATCTTTACCAAGAATCACTGTGTTTACGTGAAATGACAATTTCATACTGTATTTGATATAAAACTATTTTTTGTTACTGGGGTTTACATGGCGCTGAATGATTTGGGGGACGCGCTCTCGTGGAAACAGCCCACCTGGTCACAGGGGAGTGGAAGGACATCCCTCGGTAGAATCAGGCAGCGTTTCTACAAACACAGGCAGTTAGAAACCAAGGAAATTCCTTCACCTGTGTAGGTTAGTTTCCAAACGAAAATGTGAACTATAATTTGAAATATTAACCTTCTTTTCTACAGAAAAACACGGGGGACTCGATTTTTTAACTCTTCACTGAATTAGGGTATTTTTATTATTTTTAAAGACTGTGTAAAGATGCAGTTTTTGCAGGTGTCACCTGAACCGATGCTGTCACAGGAGCCCAGGGAAAACCTGAGCTCCCGGCCCCCCCCCCCCCCCCCCCCCCCGCCTGGCATGTCCTGTGTGGAGCTGTCCTGAGCACAGCAGAGTTTATCTTATTCAAATCAAGGCAGAACTGGAAAGAAAACTCTTCTGTTTTACTGTGTTTTGTGTTTCAGAAACAAATTCTGTTCCCTGGAAACGCTTCTTTCTGGGTCTGATTGGGGCAGATATTTTTATATGTGTGTGTATATGTCGATGTGTGTACATACGTCCCCACCGTGAGGGGTGTATTTATAGCCTCCAAGCTGCTGGCAATGTGTCGCTTTACAGCCGCCCAAGCCCCAGGCCCCTGCAGCCCAGCCCACGGGCTCCGCGTCCTTGTGCAGGGCCAGACCTCTCTGGAGTGCGTCGTGGACGGCGTACAAGCTCGGCAGCTTTCCTCCTGGTGTATAAGTTATTTGGAAAATGATGCTTCACGTAATTTACTGAATATATTGATTGTTCAGGCACCGTTCCTGCCATCCCAGCCTGGGACTGGCCACCATTTTTGTGATCTCTTCCTCATAAAAGCACTTTAAAACCTCATGTTTCAGTCACTGTTCCTTTTTTTTTTAACTGCTGATGTAAGTGAAATTTAAAAATCCGAGTTCTTTACTGTATGGCTGGTGTTTGAATAAACATCAGCACCTCTTGCTGTCGGCCGTCCTCTGTAAAGGCACAGGATCTGGAACTGGGTGGCCCTCACTGGAACGCCCCCCCCCCAGATGCCAGCGTGCGCCGGAGGGGCCCAGGGCGAGTGGGGCCTCCTGACCCCTGAGCCCCCTCCCCTCCCCCCTCTGTCAGGGCTTCTCCTGCAGGAATAAGATAGGGTGAACTCTGTACCTGTGCTCGGCCAGCTGGGAGAAATAGTACAAGTGTCAGTGGGCGTAGTGGCTCCTCGAAGCCTGCAGCGTCCCCTCCACCTCTGCGGGGACCCCCGTCACCCTGGACCTGAGGGCCTCTGTCCTTCGCGTTGCCCTAATTCACGCTGATGCCCTATGCCTGGCAGGTCATTTGTCTGCGGAAACCCGGTTCAGTGGTGATGCTCTGAGAAGCCCTAGAAGGAGCAGTCTTTTCTTCACCCCCGAGCCTTGTCCCTACTGGGCCTGTGGTCAGGATGCCCCTCACGTGGCACCAAACACAGGGGCAGCTCAGCTCCGTTCGAGGGAAGCCAGGGGCCCCGGGCCGAGAGCACCCCCTAGGATCCCTGTCCGCCTGGACCCCAGAAGGTGATCCTGCTTGGATCTAGGGTCACTGCAGGTGCAGTTGGTTAAGATGGGGTCATGGTGGCCGCTAGTCCAATGACTGGTGTCCTTATAAGGAGCAGGAAATTTGGACACACACACACACCAGGCGGGAGCTGGAGGGCTGGCTCAGCATGTCGGGGGTACCAAGGGCCACCAGAGCCCCAGGAGGTGGAAGAGGCCGGAAGGACCCTCCACAGAGCCTCTGGAGGGAGCTTGGCCCTGGGACACCTGCCCAGACCTGGGACTGGATAGATTCCTGTCGCTGGAGCCCCTGGGGGCGGTGCTGGGTCAGGCGGCTGGAAAGGAGCACTGAGTCAGTGAGCAGTGACCGCGCTGTACTCGGTCTGAGAAGGTGCGCAGCCCTGGAGCCAGAGGAAGCCCCGGGCAGTGGCCGCACCCGGCAGGGGTGGCAGGTGGCGCTTCTGGAGCCCTCGCAGGACAGTGCACGCCCCCAGGCTCTCGGCAGGACGAGCAGCCCCGCTGCCCCGCAAAGGAAGTAGGGCTCAAAGGAATGAGCCCCTTCCTCCCCAAGCTGGGAGGAGACGGACCCTGACAGCACCCTGCCAGGTGGTCTGACTCCAGAGCTGCTGCACCCACTGGGCCCAGGCGGCGCCACGAAGGGCTGTGAGAGTCCCTCCCCTTCCCCTCCTCTCCCCCTCCCCCCTTCACAAATAAATTCCTGTATAACTGAATTCCTAAACAATTGTTGACAGTGACAAATAGAAATTCCAGAGGTGATAAGTAAAATGTTGTCCTCTAAGGACTGCCTTCCATCTGGGGAGGGAGTAGCGCCGGACCCGCCTGGAGCAGCTGGGTCTCCCTGCTCCCCCTCTGAAGATAAATGGCAGAGCTGGTGTCCCCAGCCTCCACCTGTTTATGGAGAGGCGGCTGGACGCCTGAGTGAGGCTTGCAGGGTGACCGCCAGCCCAACGGGCCCAGGACAGTACCAGTTAAGTCTGGAAAGTCCAGCGTCCTGAGAAACCCTTTCGTGCCTGGCGGCCAGGATAGCTGGTCACCCCAGCTGGTGGCCTGGGCCCAGGAGGGCATGAGGGACAAGACCCGGGCGCCCCAGGGCTGAGACGGGGGCAGGGGCTCCGCGGGGGGCGCGCACCCCTCCCCCTCGCGCTCCCAGAGGGGCCCTTCGGCTGAGAAACCAGGCCTCCCCCGTGACAAGATATTCACATTCACGCCCCAAACCTGCTCCCCTTTCCCAGTACCATCACTGCGGGGGACGGCTCTCCACCCGCACTTTAGTTCTGTTTCCCAGCTTGCCGTCCTAGGTCCTTGGGCTGCAGGCTTCTGAGCTGCATTTGAGCTGCACACGCCACCGGACACGCATCCCGACGCCCGAGTCTCCTCTCGGACAAGGAGCCTGACTCCCCAGGCCCGTGCCCTGGGGCGGCCCGTCTGTCCGCTCAGCAGGCACTGGGCGGGGCCTCCCTCCCCCACCCTCTCGGGCTCTTGGAGAACTTTGCCCGCCTCCCCACCTGGAAAGTCAACAGACAAAGCGACCCAGGGCCTCGCCATGGCTCCTCGGCTCCGGGGGCTGGCCCTCCTCTGCCTTCTGCTGGGCCTGCGGGGTTCCCTGGTGGCAGGTACGCGAGGGAGGTTTCCCCATTCACCCAGCGGAAGGGCAGCCGACCCCCCAAAGCCGGCCCATGTGCTGGGCGCTCCTATTTGCTGGCAGCTCTGCTCTGATCTGCTCTCCTTCCGAGAGGCAAACGGTGCCCAGGGCCTCACCCAGCATTTGGAGGAAAGGCTTCGGGGAATTATTTTCCAGACTTTTGGGAGCCATGGCGTCCGCCGGCCACAGTGGGCGCCCCCCGCCTGCTGCCAACGCCCCCCCACCCCCTGGCACAGGATCTGGGGCTCAGGGGTGCCTCTCTCACTCTGCTCTCTCGGCCTCTCGGTGGGGGGCTGGTGCGAGGGACGGTGTGGGGACGCCGGACCGTGATGATCTGCCACCACGCCAGTGACCCCTGCACCCCGTCCTCACAGACGCTGGGAGGCCTGAGCCGGTTAACACGGGGACGGCTCTGTGAGCTGTCATCGTGACTCTCCAGCCCCGAGGGGCGGCCGAGGTGGGAACCAGGCACCGACACTGTCCCGTAAAGTCCGGCTCACGTCGTCCCTCAGATCCCACGGCCAGACTCTGGGGTCCGAGAGGCAGAGCTGGTGCCGCCGTGGTCCCTCCTGCTTGTCTTCTTTTTTCACTTAATATCGCACCTTCTTAAGCATCACGGGGCACCATCGTTTATGCTTCAGATTGTCTCCAGCTTTCCTGATGGCTGGGTCTCTGCAGGTCTCAGAGCATTTCCTTGGGATAAACTCCTAGAAGGGACCAGGTCAAGGGCGTGAACGTGTTGCGATGACTCACTGAGCACATTGCCTTCCTCCGGCACATAAAGCTGTGCAGTGCTCCCATTGCAAACTCAGCCAGGCCTGTGGACAGGAGCCCTCTGACTCCCATTACCTAGCAGAAGGGATGGTGGGAACACTTCCTGTGGAGGGCGGGGTGGGGGGACGGGAGGCTGTGGGTCCCCCCGGGCGTCCAGCGTCTCACGGCCCGCCCTCCAGTCTTTGTCTCCCAGGAGCAAGCCCACAGTGTCCTGCACAGGCTCCGGCGCGCCAACTGGTTGCTGGAGGAACTGTGGCCTGGATCCCTGGAGCGCGAGTGCAGGGAGGAGTTCTGCTCCTTCGAGGAGGCCCGGGAGATCTTCCAGAGCAAGGAGAGGACGGTGAGCTCGCCTGGGGCCAGCGGGCATGCGGCGGCCACCCCGTGGTTGTGAAGCCTGCTTTGATTCTCACGACAACCCTGCGAGTTTTACTTCATTGGCCAAAAGATTCCGCGGGAATCCCTTTTACTGATGGGGCCTCTGCGGTCGGCAGAGCCTCTGCGGTCGGTCCCGCTCAGCGGGTGACTGGACAGTCGATGCAGCATCCGAGGAGGAACTGGGGGCTCAGGGAGCGGGAGTGTCTTGTCCGCGTTCACAGCTCGGACGTGGCACAGCTAAAGCCTGGGGATCCTGACTTGGGCGAGGAAACCTGTGACCTCTGGTGGCCTTAGCAATGGCGGGTGGATATTAGGACAGAACTCGCTTCCCCTGGATGCACCCACCTCGCCTCCAGAGGAGAAAGTCTGGCTTTCAGAGCCCATCACGAGGGCCAGGTCAGAAGCCCCCCAGCCCGCCAGCTCCTTCCGCAGGGCCATATGCACTGCCTCTGGCGCACGCCTGCGTCACGCACCTTCCTCTTTGCTCCCTCAGAATCAGTTCTGGATTTCTTACAACGGTGAGTACGTGCCCGGCCGACGTGATCTACCCGCCAGCCCCTCTCTCGGCATCCTAACTCTGACTTGCCCACAGACGGGGACCAGTGTGCCTCCAGGCCCTGTCAGAACGGGGGCTCCTGCGAGGACCAGCTGCAGTCCTACCTCTGCTTCTGCCTGGATGGCTTCGAGGGCCGGAACTGTGAGACAGGTGAGGACAACCGGGGCCCCCGGGGGGGCTGCTGAGCACGGCCTGGGGGGAGGTTGGCCTCCGTGACCTGGAAGGGCCTCAACCTGAGAGTCTCGGATCTGGTGTTCTCAGGTGCTAATTCTTCCACTTGTGATGCCCTGTCCCCTTCTGGGCTCCCGGCACTGGGAAATTCTGACGCACCCGGAGGGGCCCGGGGAATCACTGCATCTCCGTCAGCTCCACACATCCCCATGGCGAGGTGGTTGGGGAAGCTCGGCCTTCCCTACTTGCTGTCACAAGGGTAGGCCCAGTATTACAGTATCACACAGCTCAGGGCTCCCCAGACCACCCTCAGCGTCAGTCATCTGCTAGGCCAGCGTGCTCTGAAGGCCGACACAGGCACGGTTACAGTTACCACACGGAAAGGATATGGGTTCAAACAGCCGAGGGGCCAGTGTGAGCTCCCAGCGGCTTCTTCCCGGGAGCCCTGTGGACGGTGTTCTGTTCTCCGAGACCATGTGGGACAGAACTTACAGAGACTCACCCACCAGGGACGCGCCCACAAGCCCCAGTGTCCTGAGGTCCCACTGGGGCTCAGGCACAAGGATGTGGCTGACCCCCACGTCCAGCCCTTCCAGGGGTCGCGCTGATGCCAGGTGGCCCCAGGCCCCCAGGAAAACAACACACTTATCAGGCAGCTCAAATTAAAGTGGACAACGTCATCAGGGGGGCAGTCACTTCCTGGGAGCCCTCCCCACCTGTGAACATTCTGATGCCACCTAGCTCGTCTCAAAGGACCACGGTCAAAGAGGGAGGGCAACGGCCAGGGAGGAGGGTCCCCGCCGGTCACCTGGGGCTTGGGTGCTCAGCGGTCCTGGTGTGAATTCACCTCCAGGACAGGCCCTGGACTTGCAGAGCGAGCCAAGCCCGTGTCCACAACAAAGCTCCCTTTTCCAGAGGCAGGTTGGCCAGCGGCCAGCCCGGGCAGCTCCCCGGGGCACCAGGCCCCGGCTGCAGACCAGCCTCCTGGCTCTGACTGCTCGCGGGCAGGCCTCCGATTGAGTCGGACTCGTCCACCGTCCCCAGGGGCCTCTGCTTTCCCCAGCCCGGGAGGGATGACGTTGTGGAGGCCACAGCGTGCCAGCCCCGCATCCCCACTGGCGAAGCTGCTCAGACGTGGGACCCTGCCCCAAACTCCAGGTCGTGCCCTTCTGGGTCAGTCTGCGGAGTGGGCTGGTGCCAGGCTATCCCTGGAGCCGGAAGCTGGGCGCCACCTTCGTGCAGAACACAGCCCCTGGCCCAGGCCTGCTTGCCCTGACCGGGGCCCCCTGTCGGCCACGCCCTCTGCCCTCAGACAAGAAGAGCCAGCTGATCTGCCCGAATGACAACGGTGGCTGTGAGCAGTACTGCAGGGATGACGCGGAGGCTGGGCGCACCTGCTGGTGCCACGAGGGGTACGCGCTCCTGGCGGACGGGGTGTCCTGCACGGCCACAGGTAACAGGTCCTCGGGGACCAGGTCTAGGGCTGGTGGTTTCATTGTCCTGATACACGTCTCCCCGTTGGCTACAAGATGGGGTGCGGGGAAGCATAGCATCACTGAGCATCTACCAGGCACTGCCGGCGCGCTCTGCGCGTCGCGGCAGAGGGGAAGCTGGGGTGGAGGCGGCCGCCCCGCCCCCAGAGCAGGAAGGGGCCACGGTGGGCGGGGCGGAGCCCCGGAGCCGGGGGGAGGTGCAGAAGGCGGCGCTCGCTGCCCACCCCCGCTCCCCGCGCAGCACCACACCCAGTGTCTGTACTGACGGCAGCACGGTTCTGGATTCCAAGTCTCTTCAACGGCAAGCACTTCTGGGAAAATGGAAAACGTCTCCAAACCAGCCTAAAGGCGACGGGGCTGCAGCCCCCAAAGCTGACCCCACCCCCAGCCCTGCGTCTCTCCAGAGGTGGATGGACCCAGCCTTGTCTAGGAAGCCTGAAACTCAGCTGCCGCCTCTAAAGGCTTTCTTTTCTGGCCTGGGGCTTTCCTGGAGCAGGAAGGAAAACTTAGAGCCCGTCAGAAGAGCAGCCCGATTGTCTGAGATGCCGGTCACCTTACACAGCTTATCCTTTACACCTTTAGTGACCTCAAGCTGCACGTCTTCCCCCCTTGGAAAATGCGCGGGACCCAGTCTCCAGGACCCTGGGCCATCTGCTTCCCCGGCAGCTCCCGCAAGGGCCTGCCGCAGCCCCGGGCAGGACCAGAGGCGCAGCCGCCCGTCCGCAGGGCCCCTGGCCTTTCTCACCAGCACCCCACACATCCCCACGTCTTGCCGGATTTGTTTTACACAGCTGAATATCCGTGCGGAAAAATACCTGTTCTGCAAAAAAGAAACGACAGCAACCCCCAAGGCCGAATCGTGGGTGGTCACGTCTGCCCCAAAGGGGAGTGCCCCTGGCAGGTAAGGCTCCAGGAGCACTGGGTCGAACGTGGGTGACGATCCCGGGCATGCACAGAGCAGTCCAGCCCCGGCGGGCCCACCGTCTGGCCACTCCCTTAGCTGGATGGAAACGGCCTGTAAAGCAGCCCCCATCCGGGGTGCACGGGAAAGGGGGGCCCCCCCATCCGGGGTGCACGGGAAAGGGGGGCCCCCCAGGCAGCCACGACGGGAACGCGAGCTTCCAGCATCTGCTGTGCCCTTGTCAGGCCATGCTGAAGCTGAATGGGGCGCTGCTGTGCGGGGGCTCCCTGCTCGACACTGTCTGGGTGGTCTCCGCAGCCCACTGTTTCGACAGACTCAGAAGCTGGAGGAACCTGACAGTGGTGCTGGGTAGGTTGCGGGGCGCCTCCTTCTCCGGGAGACGATCCTTGAATGATAACCGCGGGGCCAAGATTTGGGGCTTCCACGACCAGTGACCTTCCCCACAAAGAGAAGTGGCAGCGTCTGGGCAGACCCCATACCCACAGCGCCGCTGTGGCCACCCCCTCAGCCTCTCTGCCACGCAGATGCGGCCCTGGGGTGACGCTGCTCCCGCCAAGGTCCCCGAAGGGGTGCCCCACCCAAGGCTGCGCTGCCCGGTGGGTTTAGGGGACGACGAGGACCCCAGGAGGGCCAGGCCCCGTCTGGAAGAACCAGGCGAACGGGGCACCCTCTCCTCACCCAGCCACGGCTGCCCGCCCGACCCCCTCACCTGCCTCCAGCACCTCGGGGCCATATCCGCCCCGACTCACACCCACGCCGACCCCCCGGCAGCCCCAGGAGGCTGCTCGCCCACCGGGGGTGGGGGACGCAGGGCCCCTCCTGCCCGACAGGAGACACTGGCCCGGGAGGCGAGGCGGGGAGTGAGTGGACGGTCCGCCCCCGCCCCCGCCGCAGGCGAGCACGACCTCAGCCAGGACGAAGGTGACGAGCAGGAGAGGCAGGTGGCGCAGGTCATCATTCCCGACAAGTACGTCCGGGGCAAGACGGACCACGACCTGGCCCTGCTGCGCCTGGCGCGGCCCGTGGCCCTCGGCGACCACGTGGCGCCCCTCTGCCTGCCCGAGCGGGCCTTCGCGGAGCGGACGCTGGCCTTTGTGCGCTTCTCGGCCGTCAGCGGCTGGGGCCAGCTCCTGGAGCGCGGCGCCACGGCCCTCCGGCTCATGGCCGTGCACGTGCCCCGGCTCCTGACCCAGGACTGCCGGCAGCTGTCGCGCCGGAGGCCCGGCGGCCCCGTCGTCACTGACAACATGTTCTGCGCCGGCTACACGGACGGCAGCAAGGACGCCTGCAAGGGGGACAGCGGGGGCCCGCACGCCACCCACTTCCAGGGCACCTGGTACCTGACGGGTGTCGTCAGCTGGGGCGAGGGCTGCGCAGCCGCCGGCCACTTCGGCGTCTACACCCGGGTCTCCCAGTACACGGCCTGGCTCCGCCGTCTCATGGGCTCCCCACCACCCTCGGGGGGCCTCGTCCGGGCCCCGCTGCTGCCCTAGCACCCGCCCCGCAAATAAAGCCGTCGTGTGTGCCCGGTCTTCCCGCGCCAAAGCCGGAAATTCTCCTGTGGTTCTTGGGGCGGGGGAGGGGGAAGCGGAAACAGAGACGGAGAGACAGAGAGACACAGAGAGGAAGACAGGGAGACTGACAGACAGAGAGAGACTGAGGGATGGAGAGACAGAGAGAAACCTGAGGGAGATTCTGAGCAGCTGGACAGAAAGAGAGACTGAGTGTCAAAGAGGCAGACGGGGCGGGGGGGGGGGTAACGACAGAAGGTGGCACACTGGGCAGAGCACGCGGGGGCTGGGTGCGCCAGGCCAGCAGCAGGGGCGCGAGTGTCCACCCCCAGTGACGTGTCCACCCATGGTGACGGTGCCGCTTCCCCACACGTTTGTCTCTCACTCAAGCGTTTCATCTTCATTGCAGATAAACTGTTAGCATCCGCCACTCACTGTGCTGAATATCCTTCCGGATCTTTTCTTTTCTTTTTATAAATTTATTTATTTTTGGCTGCAGTGGGTCTTCATTGCTGCGCGCAGGCTTTCTCTAGTTGAGCCGAGCGGGGGCTACTCTTCGTTGCGGTGCGTGGGCTTCTCACTGCGGTGGCTTCTCTTGTTGCAGAGCATGGGCTCTAGGTGCACGAGCTTCAGTAGTTGCGGCACGTGGGCTGTTGTTGTGGTTCACGGGCTCCACAGTGCAGGCTCAGTAGTTGTGGCTCGCGGCTCAGTAGTTGTGGCTCACGGGCTCTAGAGCGCAGGCTCAGTAGTTGTGGCACACCGGCTCAGTAGTTGTGGCTCACGGGCTCTAGAGCGCAGGCTCAGTAGTTGTGGCGCACGGGCTTAGTTGCTCCGTGGCATGTGGGATCTTCCCGGACCAGGGCTCGAGCCCATGTCCCCTGCATTGGCAGGCGGATTCTTAACCATTGCGCCACCAGGGAAGTCCCCAGATCTTTTCTGAGTGTGCGAACTTTACGGTAACACGCGGCCTCATGCTCTGCACACCTGCTCCCCCACGGACAGCAAGCAGCTGAGCCTCCTCCAAGCCCCCGTGGCTGCCTGCCGTCCCCGAACTGTCCAGAGGCATTTCACGGAGACCCTCGTGTTTATCTCTGAGCAGGTCTCCTTCACAATCGCCAACTTCACCAAAGTGAACCTTGCATGAGGCTGTTTCCAAACACAACAGCCCTCATGGATTTGGAGGCTATAGTCCCCAACCCTGAGGACTGGGTGCCTCTTCCAGCTGAGGCCCCAGCAGATGACCCCTGCCTGGGGACCAGCAGGGATGTTCCAAAAATGCAGGTTCCCAGGTCCTGCCCAACTCAGTGGGATAGGGGTGAGGCCCCTTGACCTACCCTCTAATCGAGTCCCTCAGGTGATGGGCACACAGGCCTCATGTTGGGAAGAATGAGGAACCAGGGACCAGGGAGGGGAGCGCCTGACCCCACCTGAACCCAGCCAGGCGGGCAAGGCCACCGCGGCGGGCGCCCACCTCCTCAGGACTCGCCCGTCCCGGCCTGGGACGCTGTGCTTAAAGTGCCAGACGTGCTCTGGGGGACAGTCCAGCCTGTTGAGTAACCAGGGCTCCGCAAGCCTGGCCACGTGCTCACCATCTGAGCCTTTACAGAAACACTTCGCTGCCCCATCAGGTGGTGGTTTCTGGGGTTCTCGCCGGGCACACGTCGAGAGCTCCGACCTTGGGCCAGACCTCCTGGGGTGGCTCTGGCCCCCTCAGAGGCACCACCAACCCTCTCCGCCCCTCGTTTCATCTACAAGATGAGGCCCGCTGCCATGCTTGTCATGAGGATGAAACTGGTGCAGGTAAAATGAGGCACTGGGAGGACAGGCCACCTGGCCAAGGCCAGGAAAGCCGATATGCAAATGCCCAGGTGCCCGCAGCTCACAGCTCAGGCTGCAGACACTCGAGGAATTCTGCAGCCGAACGCCCGAGGTCTCCGGAGGCCCTGAGCCCAGTGGGCCTCTTGTTTCTTCCTGGAAATGAACACTGGCTGGACTCCTCTTCCTGGGAAGAAAAGGGGATGTGGGGTTCAAGGGGCCAAGCCAGGAGCCCACTCAGACCCACAGGGGTTCAGCAGGTCGTGGGTGGGCTGCTGGCTCTGCCCTGCTTTCCCCGGCCTCTCTGCTGTGGTGGGCGCAGTGCCAGGCCACGCCGCAGTGCATCACCCGCATGGACCATCTCCCCTCGCCAGGCGCGGGGAATCCAGTCTCGCCCCACACGCCCAGCAGTGCAGAGACAGGGCAGCACAGAGATCAGGCGAGCCAGGCCCAGGGACCGGGCTCTGCACATCACACTGACCACCCTGCGAAAGACCAGCCTGGCCTGGGCGCCCAGCAGGAGCGTTCTGGGACATCATCGATCCGTTCAGTCCACTGGTGTTTACTGACCACCTACTGTGTGCCAGACACGCCTCTCCGTGCTGGACAGAGCAGCGAGCAAGCCAAGCGACCAGGGTGTCATACGTGGGAAGCATCAGGTGTGCTCGGCGCGGGGAACACAGCACAACCCCCTCATCTCCCAGCACAAGCACTCACCCCACCAGCAGTTCCCAGGCCTCTTCCTCCAGAGCCTGGACTCTGCTGCGGAGCCCCGGTCAGCTGAGAAGCTCGGGCCATGTCCCATACCTGCCACTCCAGGGAGGGGAGGTTCCTGGCTGGCAGATCGGCCCAGGGGCCCGTGTGGTACGCACACCCCCCACCCAGCGTGGGCAGAACGCCCCGGGTCCTAACCGCGCGTCCACCACACATGGCCACGGACTAACGCCCCACCTCTCTCTAAACCTGTCCTAGAGAAAAGATGGGCAAATGATACTTGGCTTTTATCGTGGTTGTGAGAACAAAAACAGAGCTAACATAAACGTCTGAAAAGTATACAATGACGTTTTTTTCTCTCTCAGAACAAAGAGCTCCTGTGCCCACAGCAGGCCCCCCGGACACGGTTCCTGACAAGGACCGTTGGGCCAGGACCTCCCCACGCCACACAGGCCAGGGTGACCATGCCCTCAGTGCGGTCGCCTGCCCCTACCCTCCCCCCGCCTCCCCTGCCACCGGGCAGGCCCAGGCTCCAATCAGGAGGCTGAGATAAACAGCAGGACACCCAGCCACCCTCCGGCCAGGGGGAGTGAACCTTGCTCCAGAGGCCTGTCACGGCGGGGACGAGCGCTGTCCTCGGCCGCACCATGGCGGGCGGGCTGTGCCTCTTCCTTCTCAGCGCCTCCCTGGCTGGCCTCCTGCTGCCGGGGGCAAGTGGTAAGTGCCCCTCACCCTGCAGACTGCAGGGGCGGCCCTGGGGAGGAGGAGGGTGAGGGGTCAGGGCGATGCCCCTGAACTTCCACAGTGTGGAGAGTGGGTGCCCATCCCCTGTGGGAGGCTGGCACGAGAGCCTGGCGGGGTGGTTCCAGCCAGGCGTATCTTAGGGTCGGGTGTGCCTCCCTGTGGGTGGAGAGTCAGACAGCAGATCACAGATCACAAAGACAGAAACATGGGCAGAGAAGGAGAGAGAGACAGAGACAGAGAGGGAGGGAGATGGAGAGAGGGGGAGGGGGCAGTGGCAGAGACAGAGAGAAGCCCCCTTCCTCTGCCGGAGCAAACTGCGAGCACAGAGGCTAGGGGCTCACAGGCAGAGAGGAGCTTCCACGGCAGGGAAGAGGATGACAGCCAGTGCCACCACCCGCAGGCTGGCTCCGCCAGGGGGCTCTAGGCTTTCTGGGACTCCAGACCTGTCCAAGAGAGGAAGCCAGAAAGGACAGAGCAGAGTGGAGGCAGCCCCGGGGGCCTGTCTGCATGTTTGCACTCTGGGTGACGTGGAAGTTCAGGGGCCCAGGCGCGTGGGAGGAGGAAAGGGTGAAAAGTGAGAAAGAGAAACAAACCAAACAGGGCGGGGGGGACCAGGTAGGGGAAGGAGGGAGGGGAGGAATGGGTGTATGGCTTGTATTTCAAAGCAAGCGCTCCCTGGAGGAGCAGATGTTTGGAGTAATGGAGGATGGGCCCACACAGAACAAACGTGGGCCTGGCCTTGCCGGGAAAACACAGGTGTCACTAAAAGAAATGGGGAATTTGGAAGGGAAGGTAATTTGAGGTAGGATCGAGTGCACACTCGGAGCTCTAGACACTCTTTAAAACAACCCTAAGAAGGAGGTATCTAGTTCCCACTTGCCAGTATTCAGCAGTAGGTGACCAAGATGCATTTGCCACTCAAGACAGTTCGATTCCACAGCCCTGTTTTTTAGTTTCGGACATGGGGAGTCTGGAGCTCTGATGTGAGGGCAGACATCCATCGCTGTGAGAGAGCTGAAAACACAGAGCTCACGATGGAAGTTGGGACTAGAAATACCAACTTGGAGAGTCATCTTCCTTATGGTGAGACTCTCAATTCCCCAGCAGAAAAGAGGCAGAGAGCAGGGCAGAGCGCCAAGAAAAGGACCTGAGGGCCTCCCACAGCACAGTGAAAAGGGGAAGAGGAGTGGGTGAGACCGGGGAGACCCAGGCAGCTGGGAAGGGACTACTGAGGGGAGAGGGGAGAGATCCCTGATGGGGGAGATCTCTGAGCCAGCACACTTGAACTGGCAGGTCAATTTAGTGGGCTTTTTTTTTTAATGAAACAGGTCAGAAGTAGAAAATTTTGTCACAAGTACTATTTTGTAGAAAATAATAGTAAGCACTATTTCTTGAAACTTTTGTTTTACTCTTGTGTACGTGTGTCCTGGGACTTGAAACAAATCATACTTCTAATTGTAGATCGTGCAAAACCGTGTCACCTCCCCACCTAACGCAGAGCTGAGACCTTGAAGGGTGGGGAGGGGGCGCGGAGGGGAACAGCTGAGCCACAGAACGGAGTGGAGGGCCGGGGGAGGCAAGAGGGACCGAAGGGCGAATTCCAGAAGGAGGGCTCGGGTCTCAGCGCGGGGCCGGGTGTGCGCGTGCAGGACAGGGCAGGTCAGTGGTGGGCGCGCAGGCCCAGGGCAGGCGTCTGACCCGTCACTCGCGGGGGCGGGGGTGGCCCGGGGACGGGACCGCATGTGGGCGAGCACGTGACAGCCGCGTTCCCCACCACAGTGTTCCTGCCCCGGGACCAGGCCCACAGCGTCCTGCAGAGAGTCCGCAGGGCCAACTCGTTTTGGGAGGAGGTGAAGAAGGGAAACCTGGAAAGGGAGTGCCTAGAGGAGGCCTGCTCGTATGAGGAGGCCCGCGAGGTCTTCGAAGACACGGAGAAGACGGTAAGGGGCGGCGCGGCCAGGACGCACTTACAGGGCTGCGGGGGCTTCTGAAGCGCTGTCAGGTCCACCTTAAAACTCAAAATGTTTATCTAAGAACGCGCTGTCGGCCTCGGCAGTGCACAAGGACCCCAGGCCCCGGCTTTTCGCCCAGACACTCAGCCGCCGCCATACTCGCCAACGGGTTCTGGTCCTGAGACCGCAGGGTGGGTCGGTGCGCAGGCGCAGGACGAACGCGGCGTCGAGGCCCCGTTCCGTGCCTGCGCGGCGGCGGCGGCGGCGGCGGCGGCGGCGGCGCGAAAGCACCCGCCCCTCCCCCGGAAGAGGTGGGGCCTCCGATGCTGCCCCGGAAGTCTCTGAGGTCCGTTAGCCACCTCGCGTTGTGCTGTCGTGTGGCGCTTTGCGTCAGGCCGTGGGGCGGCTTGGCTGCGGTGCAGGGGCCGACGTGGAGGTGGACGGCCGCGAGCCAAAACTGAGCAACCGAGAGCTGAAGACGCCTGAAGGCTGAGGAGAAAGTGGCGGAGAAGGAGGCCAAGCAGGAGCCCACGAGAGACAGCCTGGCCGCAGATGGCGGACCTGTCCACACCTCGGACAGCGGACCCATCCACACCACAGGTCCGCAGTGGAGCGTCCAGCGGAGTCTGGGCCCTGGGGGACCCGTGCCACACAGGCTCGTGTAGACTCCCGCCTGCTCGCGGCAGCCTGGACACCCCCGGCCTGGCTCACCTTCAAGGTGGCAGAAGAGCTGTGCCCTTGGAGGACAGGTCCAGTTGCAAGTCATGGCTGAGTGGCGAAGTGTTAAGTCGGAAGAAGAATTTACTCAAGTCTATAGCAGACTGCCTGTGGAGTCCAGAGAAGCCTGGGAAAACCGAGGAGCAGAGCCGAGAGTCCCTCAGCTCCACAGACTCGCATTACTGTCTTCTTGCTTGCATGGGCACCTCATCCCCCTTTGGCCGAAAGGTGAGGAAAGGCGGTATCATCGGAGATTCTGACTCCAGCCAGAGTGACTCTGTGAGGAAGAAGTGTATCCCCCACGCCAAGATGATCACGTGTAGAATAAGTTTCTTGGAAGAGTTGGGGTTCCTAGATGAACTTCCCATGCTGAATGCCGCTTCACGGGGAGCTGTGACCAAGCTTTCCATCACCTAGCACGGCAACTTGGACATGAACCACGTGTAAGAACTGCTCCAGAACTCCAACTGTAAAATGCTGGTAGTTGGTGGCATTGACTGCATTTGTGATGTTGGATGCCAGTTCCAGACGGTTTGACTCGAACTCACCACTCGTGAGTTTTACCTGGCCGATTATGATCTCGTGAAATCATGGATATCGTATCAGGGATGCTGAACATGTTATGGGCAGTTACAAGACCACCCACCATCCAGTCAGCCCAGCAGGCCAAACCCATGAGATGGACTCCGCCCCACCCTTCTGGAGAATGAGCACAATAAAAGGGCTCAAGAAAAACCTGGGAGTGAAGCTGCCAGAAACTAACCTCTTCAGAACGGAAGAGACCGAAAAAATTATTGATCACGTCTGTGTCGCAAAAACTGCTGAATGTCCTCCGCCTCAGACCACAGGTAGACTCCTTGCTGAGCTTGTCAGAGTCCCTGAAAGTGGCTTGCAGCAGCGACCCACTCATCGGTGATCGCCCACAGATAACGGCCAGACAGACTGCTCTGGGTCTCACTGAGCAGGTTGAGTTACTTGTCATGAGGAGGGAAGTGTGCAGTGCTTACACTGGGTTAAATAGTCCCATACAGCAGCCAGAGGCTTTTAAACAACAGGCCAGAGCCACCAGCGAGGATGATGTTCATAGATGAAAACTTCTGTACCGCCTGGAATCTAGGCTGCCCCCCACCTGGCTGTGGCATGGTCATTGGCTGCATCACCATGTTTCTCACAGCCTACGGTAACATCAAGGGGGTACTTCTGTTTCCTGCCATGAAACCTGAAGGTAAGGAGAATGTGGCAACCACTGATACATTGAAAAGCACAATAGTTGGCACTTCTGTCTAGAAAATAATAATTGGTAAGTTGTATGACTCAGACATCTTTGCATTCCTGCAAAAGGTCAAGGTCTGCAAGGGAATTCTTGTGTTGCTATCCATTTGACTACCATGGTTCATTTCAGCCACCAGAAGAGAGAAGAGGAATTAAGAATTCATTTTTACTCCTTGTTACCAAGTGAACGATTTCTCTCTTTTAAAAAGTTATTCATAATTTCAGGAACTGTTTTTATTTTTAACTGTTCCTTTAATTCACATACACTTAACAGTTTTTTAGATTATAAAAATAATTGTAGTGCCAAGTTCATGTTCTGCCTTTTTCCTCAGCATCATTTCCCAAACACTCTGCCTTACTTCCTTAGAACTACCATACTTATAATTTTAAAGAGCTAAGTTGTTTGTTTGTTTTGGCCATGCTGCACAGCTTGTGGGATCTTAGTTCCCCAAACAGGGCTTGAACCCACGCACTCAGCAGTGAAAGTTCAGAGTCCTAACCACCAGACTGCCAGGGAATTCTCTAAATAATTCACGTGTCAAAGAAGAAGTCTCAAGGGAAGCTAGAAAATACTTTCAGGACTTCCCTGGTGGTGCAGTGGTAAAGAATCCACCTTTCAGTGCAGGGGACGTGGGTTTGATCCCTGGTTGGGGAACTAAGGTCCCCATGCTATGGGCCAGCTAAGCCCATGCGCCTCAACTACTGAGCCCACGCGCCTCAACTAGAGAGCCCACGTGCTGTAAACTACAGAGCCCACATGCTCTGGAGCCCGTGCGCCACAACTAGAGAGAGAAAACCCACATGACACAACTAGAGAGAAGCCCGTGCACCGCAACAAAAGATCCCGCGTGCTGTGACAAGGATGCCGCAAGTAAGACCCGACACAGCCAAAAATAAAAATATATATAAATAAATTTTTTGAAAAAAGAAAAGAAAATACTCTCAGCTGAACAAAAATGAATACATAACATACAAAATCTCGTGGGATGCAGCTAAACAGTGCTTATCGGGAAATTTACAGCATGAAATGTTTTTATAGGAAAAGAAGTTTTCAAATTGATAATCTAAGCTTCCATCTTAAGACACACACACACAAAAAGGCAAAATAAACCCAAAAGAGGAGAAATCAATAAAATTGAAGAAATAATTTGAAATAATAGAGAAAATCAGTAAAACTGATAAGATTTAACAAGATTGACAAAAAAGAGCACATGAATTGTATCAGGAATGAAAGAAGAGATATTACTACAGACCCTGCATATGTTAAAAGGATAATAAGAGAATACTATGAACAACTCCATGCACAAATTTGGATGGAATTTTACAATTTGGATGAAATGGACCAATTCCTCAAAACCATGAACTATCAAAACACGTAGTACGACAGAGATATCTGCAAATTCAACTTCTTAGTTAAAAACCTTCTGTAAAGGAAATGTCCAGGTCCAGACTGTGTCACTGGTGAGTTTTACCAAACATTTATAGAAGAAATAACACCAATTCTGTGTAATCTCTTCTAGAAACGAAAAGGGAACACTTGTAAGTTTGTTTTCTATCAGCATTACCCTGATGCCAAAACCCACAAAAACAGAAGAAAGAGAAAAAGAGGGAAGGAGGGAGGGAGGAAGGTAGAAAGAAAGCAAGCTATATAACAACATTTCTCATGAACCTCTTATAAATATTCTCAACAAATTATTAGCAAATTGAATAAAGCAATATATGTTAAAAAAAAAAAAAAAAGAAGAATACACAATGACCAAGTGGGTTTATCTGGGGTACACAAGGCTGGCTCAGTATTTGAAAATCAATAGTGTAATCCACCAGTTTAAAGAAGAAAAATCCACATAATCATATCAACTGATAGAGAAAAAGCACCTGAAAAGATTCAACATCCATTCATGATAAAAAACCTTTCAGTGATTTCCCTGGTGGTCCAGTGAGTAAGACTCTGTGCTCCCAATGCAGGGGGCAGGGGTTTGATCCCTGGTAGGGTTATGAGATCCTGCACGCATGCTGCAACTAAAAGATCCCGCATGCCGCAGCGAAGACCCAGAGCAGCCAGAAATAAATATTTTTAAATAAGTAAATAAAACAATTATTAAAAAAAAACCTTTCAGCAAACTACAATTAAAAGGGAACTTCTTCAACATGATAAAGATTATTAACAAGGAACCTACAGCTGATATCGTGGTGAAAACTGAATGCTTGCCCTCTAATACTGGGAAAAAGGCAAGGATGTCCATTTCTAATACACCCAATTCAGCATTGTACTGGAAACCCTAGCCATAAGGAAGGTTTAACAATAAGCCAAGATAAAGAAATGAAACTCCCTATTTGCAAGTAACATGATTATCTACATAGAAAATCCCATGGAATCTGGAAAAAATACTCCTAAAATGTATGTATCTAGCAAGGTCACAGAATACAAGGTCAGCACACAAATATTAATTGTATTTCTGTGTAGTAGTAATGTGTAGTTAGAAACAAACAAATAATTAATGCCACTTACTGTTGCTCCAAAGAAAAATATCTATGTGTAAATCTAATAAAACATGTGCACGACCTGTATGCTGAAATCTGCAAAATGCTAACGAAAGGAAGAGGACCTACATGAATAGACATAGAATGTTCATGGTTTGAAAGACTTAACATATTAAAATATTGACTCTTCCCTATTTGATATATAGATTTAATGCAGTGCCAAACTTCCATCAGATAAAGACAAGTTGATTCAATATTTGTAATATGGAAAAACAAAGGAATTAGAATAGCTAAAACAATTTTGAGAAAGAAGATAAAATTGGAGGAATCACACTGCCTGATTTAAAGACTTACTGTAAATCTACATTAATCACAGAGATAAGGGACTTGCTTGGTGGCGCAGTGGTTAAGAGTCCGCCTGCCAGTGCAGGGGACACAGGTTCAATCCCTGGTCCCAGATGATCCCACATGCCGTGGAGCAACTAAGCCCGTGCACCACAACTACTGAGCCCAAGTGCTGCAACTAGCCCGCGTGCCTAGAGTCCATGCGCTGCAACAAGAGAAGCCACTGCAGTGAGAAGCCCATGCACCTCAACGAAGAGTAGCCCCTGCTCGCCACAACTAGAGAAAGCCCGCGCACAGCAATGAAGACCCAACGCAGCCATAAATAAATAAATAAATAAAATCGTAGCAATACTGATGTGTGCTGTTGGTAAAGGGAGAAACACATAGATCAAAAGAACAGAATAGAAAGTCCATAAATAGACCCATGCAAATATGGCCAGTTGATTTTTTTTTTAATATTTATTTATTTAGGCTGTGCCGGGTCTTATTGCAGCACGTGGGATCTTCATTGCCACATGCGGGATCTTTAGTTGCGGTATGCATGCGGGATCTTTAGTTGTGGCATGCATGCGGGATCTAGTTCCCCTACCAGGGATCAAACCTGAGCCCCCTGCATTGGGAGCACAGAGTCTTACCCACTGGACCACTGGGGAAGTCCTTGGCCAATTGATTTTGACAAAGGTGCATAAGCATTTCAATAGAAAAAGAATTCTCTTTTTCAATAAATGGTATTGGAATAATTCTACATCTATATGCAAAAAAAGGTCAGCTTTGACCTAAACGTCACAACTATACAAATATCTCAAAATGGACCATATAGCTCTAAAGATAAAACAGGAAACTTTTAGGAGAAAATTTTCATGACACAAAGTTAAGTTAGGCAAAAATTCTTAGACGTGACACCAAAAGCATAATCCATAAAAAGTATATAGATAAATTAGACTTATTCTAAATTTAAAACTTTTGCTCTGTGAAAAACATTAAGAGAATGAAAATACAAGCTATTGACTAAGAAAATATTTGCAAATCACATATCTGCCAAAAGTTTTGTGGTCAGAATATAAAGAACTCTCACAAGTCAACAGAAGAAAATAAACAACCCAATTAAATACAGTGAGCAAAAGATTTGAACAGACACTTCACCAAAGAGGATACATGGATGGCAAATAAGCATGCGAGAAGATATTCAACATTATTAGCCATTACAGAAATGCAGATTAAAACCACGATGAGGGACTTCCCTGGGTCCAGTGGTTAAGACTCCATGCTTCCACTGCAGGGGGCATGAGTTCGATCCCTGGCCAAGGAACTGAGGTCCCACGTGCCGCAAGGTGCGCCCCCCCCCAAAAAAACAAAACAAAACACAATGAGATGCCACTGCACACCTAGAATAAAAACCAAGTGCTGGTGAAGATGTGGAGCGACCACAGCTCATACACTGCTGTGGGCACGCAAAACGGTACAGCCAGTCTGAAAAGCAGTTTGACAGTTTCATATAAAGTTACCATGTGACTCAGCAATCCCATTCTTGGGTATTTACTGTAGAGAATTGAAGACTTTTTCAACAAAACCTGTACATAAATGTTTATAGCAACTCTATTCATAATTGCCGAAAACTAGAAATAGTACAGATGTCCTTTGTTGGGTGAATGGATAAACAAAGCGTGGTACGCCACACAGTGGAACACTGCTCATCAGTAAAAGAGCACAAACATCGACATGCACAGTAACTCGAATGAATTTCAGTTTCAGAGGCACTATGCTGAGTGAAGGAAGCTAGTTTCACAAGGTTATATCACGTATGAGTCCATTTACAGGACATTCTCAAGAAGTCATGACTGTAGTGACGCAGAGCAGACTCGTGCTGGGCATTCGGAGCGGGGGTGGCCAGTGGCTGGCAAGGTTGGAGGAGATGGAGCTGTTCTGCGTCTCGGTTGTGGCGGTGATTATACAAATCTATACATGTGTTGGCTTTTATAGAATTGTACACCAAAAAAAGTTTTACTGTGCAATAAACGTTTAAATAAAAAATTTAAAAGTGTAGTCATTTCTTAGGCCTTCTGTAACAAAGCACCCCAAATTGGGTGTCTTAAAACAACAGAAATTTACTCTCTCACAGTTCTGGAGACCACAAGTCGAAACCAAAGTGTCACCAGGCTTGGTTCCTTCTGGAAGGTCTGAGGGAGGATCTGTTCCATCCTCTCGCCCCGCTTCTGGGGGCGACCAGCAGCCCTTGCTGTTCCTTGGCCGGTAGATACATCACTCCACTCTCTGCCTGCACCTTCACACAGCCTTCTCTCTGTGTGGCCTGTGTGATATTTTATGTCTCTTATAAGGACACTCTCATTGATTGGGGGTCCACTCTAATCCAGTACGAGCTGTTCTCGACCCATAACTTAATTACATCTGCAAAGACCCTCTTTCCATTAAGGTCAGATTCTGAGGTTGCACCTAAGTTGCAGCCGGGGAGTAGGGGAGACACTAATTAACCTACTATAGATAGAAAAAAATTGTTTTAAGACTACGAACATTTCTTTCCAGTGTTACATAGGCTCTTGATGCCCTATTTTAAGCTAATTACCAATTATCTTTTTTTTCAAGTATCATAATGATTATTCTCCAAGCATCTGATCGTGTTTTGAATCTTTGACCCAGGTATCTTAATGTAAAACCACTTATTGATGGGCTTGGGGGTAGCAAATAGAGCAAACCATTTTTGGTACAATCCGTTTCTTGGTAATTAATTTGAAAATAAATTTTCAATATTTAACAAAGTTGTGCAATTAAGATGATCGAGCATGGCATCTGGGAAACATTTTGTAATATTAAATGATTCATGTTAATCTTAAATTGATATACATGTAGGTCTAGATGTAATATGTGTGAAGTATAACACTGATTCTTCATATAAAAGCTTGGCTATAGGTATTGATTTAAGAGATAGTAAAAAATTATATGATAATGTTGTATATGATGAAATTTAAACATTCTGTCTTAGAATTACAATTATTTGTCATTATGAATTTGTTACAGTGTTTGCATGTGATACATAAAGTGTACAGTTTGCTTCTGAATCTAAGCAATCACTTTAGAGATTTTACTTCAGTTGCTGTTGTCTCAGCACAGTTTCTCCAAACTGAGATTAGTGAAAAACAAACAAATAAAACCTATAGAGAAACTTTTGTGGTTCAAGAAAAGTAATCCTATTTCGAATTACTTAACAGTTGAAGCAAATAATGTGAAAATCTTGATGGTGATCATATCGTTAGTGATTTTGCTAGGATGAAAGTTAGAAAAGTACATTTAATATTACAAAATGTTTCCCAGACGCCATGTTCAACTGTGTGAGCAGGCTGTGGACGCTAGGCCGTATTGGGGTATGATCATTTATTACACGAACATGTATTGTATTAAAAAAAAAAGATGAATGAAGCCACAGCTTTACAAATGCAGGGGATCTGAAAACATTTCCCCTTCAGGTTGAATAGTTCTAGGGCATTTTGTTCCAGAAAATGACCTCTGTCTGGGAAATAGCCTATTCGCTTGAGTTACTAGATTGTCGCTGTTATTGGTGTAAAATGTCTCTTTTCCATAATGCATTTAAAATTTTTTTTCCCTTTTAGAATGAATTCTGGAATATACACAAAGGTGAGATGTTTTCTGTTTCAGTCTTGAGTGAGAGGGGTTCATCAGGGTATTTAAATCGGGAGAGATTGTATTCAAACTTTGAAGATTTTCCTGAATTTCCTTTCTGCTCCTGTTTAAGTTTTACTTATCTAAGACTTTTCCCCTCTGAGTGTTTCCATAATAGTGATCGTAAAATAGTTTTTTATAGTAGCTTTATACTAATTCTAGTTTTGTTACTTATATACATTTAAATCGGTTCATTCCCATTTGAGGATACCAAATTCCATGATAATTTTTTTAAACCCAAGTATACTAGGTAGAAACAGAACATAAGAGTCTGAAACACTGGGTCCTCTCATAAGGTAACCACGTTGATTTAATGCTTATAGCGTCTAAAATGGTATTTATCATAACTAATGTTTTCATTCTGGTAATAGTATTCAGGTTTCTCAAAATGACAACTGGACCTGTCTCTAAATTGTATTGTACAAATGCCCCAAGAAATGTGAAGTCCCATGTTAGTGCTGTACAGGAACTTTTCCTTCTCCTTTTACACCCAAACCATTGGAAATAGGAACCGTCTTGTCGATGCCCAGCCCAGAAACAAGTGTCCAGCAATCACTTATCCTCCCTCCTTCCAGCTGACCCCATGTGGTCACCAGCACAGGGCTCCGCTCCGTGATGGAAAAAAGTTGTCAGTGATTGTAAAAACACGGTCAGAGGTCTCAGCAAAAATTGGAAAACTCAGTCAGCAATCCAGCTAGATAGAGGCATCACGTGCACGTAGCCACAAAGCTGGGGCTGGGGGTGGCGGGGGGGGGGGGGCAGTGGTAACGAAGTCCAGACAGGACAGCTTGTTTACAGGAAAACAGGAAGAATCCCAGGTTCATTCAAGTTAGCTGAGAACTGGGCGCCAGAATCAACCAGCAAAATCGTTTCCACGATGAGGGGAATTGCCTGCAAGCTGTGGTTTCCAAATGTTTTCTGCGCAGATGGTGACCAGTGTGAAAGCCGTCCTTGCCTGAATCAGGGCATATGTAAAGATGGCCTCGGGGAATACACATGCACCTGTTTGGAAGGATTTGAAGGCCAAAACTGTGAATTACGTGAGTTCCTCTTCTTGGTGGACCTTCAGGTCAGAGCCCCCTGCCGAGGCCAGGTGGGAATGCGGGAAGAAGCTAGAGGCCCAGGGAAACCGTCTCCGGTCACGTGGGCTTCAGCCTGTGCTCCGTGAGGCTGTGCCGCTGCAGGCAGTGGAACACGAGTCAGAGTCCCCAGTGTGGAGGACGGGATACCGGGCACTCCTCTGCCCCTCTGAGGAGCGGCTGTGGAACGAACGTTCCCGAAGGGTGGGGCCCCTTCACCTGGAAACGAGAACCGACGTTTCTTTCCTCGGAGGAGGATGTTTCTCCTGCTTGTCAGGATCCTGGAAATTCGTGCGAATGTCAGTGCTGAATGATCGGGATTGTCCAATTATATAACATTATTATATAAACATTTGGTACAATTAATTCTGCATGGAAAAATCACTGAGTTTTCCTAATACAGTGATTAACTTTTAATAAAAATTAGGTTAGAATTAGGCCAGTTTCTCCCTGAGGAGAAAAATTCAAGCCTTTTGAATTTCTTAATCTTTAATCTTCAGAGCATGCTTTTCGATTGGATACTTCTGAGTTTTCCCCAGTGGGAGTATCAGTCGTGCACCCTTCCATCCACCGTCCAGAGCAGCTTCCCCAAATACCGTTCTGCTGACGCTGGGGCTGTCAGGAATGTTTTCTAAAATTTCTTTAATGTTTGCCCCGTAACTAGTCTTTCATCAAAACCCGGTGGCGAAATGTAGAGTCAGCTGCCAGGCGGCAGGACTGATGAGTCTGGGGTCTGGTGTCCGGTGCACGTTGGCACAGTCCGGCGGTGAGGGCCCCTGTGCCCGGCGCCTCGCGGGACCTGGACAGCTCTCCTGGGGGCTGGGTGGTCTCCACCCCTTTACAAGGGACGCGACAGGCCGTGGGGTTTAAATAACGTGCCCAAATCACACAGCTGGAGACCGATGGCCAACTGGGAGCCGGCCTGAGTCCGGGACGTGGCTACCACCCCTCCTTCCCGCCGCACGGGAGCCAGACCCTCATCTGGGGATGGACCCCAGGTGCTTTATGCCACGGGGGACTGAGGCCTCAGAGTGGACGCCGTGGTCTACTCTCGGCTCGGCCTGAGCTCCCCCCTCGCTGGCCAGCGCCGCCACGCCCTTCTTAGGGCTGAACTTGAGACCCTCCAGCCTCCAGGCCTTCCCTGGGCTTGTGTGGGCTCCCTGGCCCCCGGGGCCCCACGTGGGCGGGGGAGGGGCCTGCCCGGGGCGCCGGCTGGTGGGCACCGTGGCACCGGCGAGTGACGGCACGTCCCGGGCGGGCCGCACCCTCAGCTTCCTGGCTCTTCCGCAGCCACGCGTGAGCTCTGCAGCCTGGACAACGGGGGCTGCGACCAGTTCTGCAGGGAGGAGCGGAGCGCGGTGCTGTGCTCGTGCGCCAGCGGGTACGACCTGGGCGACGACGGCAAGTCCTGCGTCTCCGCAGGTAGGAGGGGAGCAGGCTGGGCTCCCGGTGGGGCTCGTGGTTTGGAGACAGACCCACTGTTTCTGTGAACCGCCTGAGAAACGGGCCAGTGCTGTCAGCTCTCCTGGGGGCACGTGGAGCGTGAGGGTAACGCGTGGAGGTCTCTGCCCAGTGCCCGGCTCGCAGCGAATCCCAAGTGGCCACTTTGCAGCTGCCACGATGGCGTCCCCGTCCCTCTCGGAAGGGCGGGGGCTTGGGAGGCTGGAGTTTCAAGGGCCGGAGCCGTGGGCCGGCCGAGGAGCCGGGGAGGGGGTGCAGGGGCCAGAAGGGGAACCCAGGGCCCTCCAGCACCGTTTTGGGTTGTGTGGGTCCCGATGTTAACAGAAGATTTTTTCCGTGATAAAAGCCAGATGCCATGCATCTGGCCCAGAAGCTCACGGAGGGCTGAGTGAGGGCCTGGGTTCTGGGGGTCCTGGTGGTGGGAGAGGCCCCGTCTCACACCCCATGGGGAGTCCTGCCTGACCGGGACTCCTCTGCTGTGGGGCGGGGGCCGGCCGTGCCCCTCTCAACTCGGGCTCCTTCTTGGGGTGACCCCAGCTCCTCCTCCAGCAGGCCCCAGCTGGCCCGCAGCCTTGGCATTACCTGGGGTGGTGAGGAATGCATAGTCCCGGGCCCACTGTAGAGGTGGGCATATTCCAGGGCAGTGGCAATTGTGTAAAATTAAATCTCTCAACAGGTAGAGGACAGTGAGATTTACATTTCTATCGGTAATGAGATTTTTTTTTTTTTTTTGCGGTACACGGGCCTCTCACTGCTGTGGCCTCTCCCGTTGCGGAGCACAGGCTCCGGGCGCGCAGGCTCAGCGGCCATGGCTCACGGGCCCAGCTGCTCCGCGGCATGTGGGATCTTCCCGGACCGGGGTACAAACCCGTGTCCCCTGCATTGGCAGGCGGACTCTCAACCACTGTGCCACCAGGGAAGCCCCCCCAAAAATATTTTAATTGAAGTCGTTGCTTGTCATGCTTGCAAAATTTTTTTAATTCCAGGTATAATTACAGATCAATTTAAAATAAAGTTTGATGGTTGAAAATAAAATCAGGTAAACTACTTCCTGGTGCAGGAAGTTCTGTTCTAAGTCATGGACGAGCTGATGCAGAACTTCAAGCGGGCAGTGATCACAAATGTTAAGGCAGAGGCGGCTGGCGTGGGAAGAGCTCTCCTCCGCGAGCGAGCGAGCACACTCCCAGTGCACCCGCGGGCCCTGCGGGGCAAGTTCCACCAGGAACACACACGGGGGACGGCCTCAGATGTGCGGCCCCCAGCTCCCCTGCCTCTGTTCTGCTTCGCCCCCGCTGTGCCTCGGTTGCCTAGTTGGTAAGGATACGAAAGGGCGCTTTTTGGTCTTTCCTGGCCCCTCACTTGCTTGGCGCTTGTAAGGGTCGCTGTCGTCCTTCAGCTGTCCCTGACAAAGCTCCGCCTGCCGCTCGTCCTGCCCAGAACACTTCTTTCTCTTCAGCGTTTCATTAGGAAATGTTTCCAACACACAGCGGGGCTAAGAGAACTTCGGGGCTTGAGCGCCCCAGCGCCCTGTCTGCCATCCTGGTCTCCACGTACCAGTCGTGTCCCCCGCAGCCCCACGGTCCTCCGTCCAGCCACAGCCACCCGACTTCCACAGGCGTCCCAGTAGACACAGAGCCCCTTACACGCGTCTGCACGCTGGCCGGCCAGAGGTCAGGGCTCCCACCCGCAGCCCAGCCCTAGCAGGACACAGGGCGCCCCACTCCCCCAGGGCCCGCTTCTCAGGCTCCTCCTCGGAGTGACCTGCGTGGGCCCTGCAGGGAGGCCTCCGCGAGGCTGAGGCCCGACTGCCCTTCTTCCAGAGCCCTTCCCCTGCGGGAAGCACACCCCGGGACGCGGCAGGCGGTCGGCCACCCACCGCAGCGGGGAGGCCCCCGAAGCAGGCGTGCCGGAGCAGTACGACCGCGGAGACCTGGGCCCCACCGAGAGCTCCCTCCACCTGCTGGGCCTCAACGGGACAGAGCCCAGCCCCAACGAGGACGAGAGCCACCTGGTCCGGATAGTGGGCGGGAGGAAGTGCGAAGACGGGGAGTGCCCCTGGCAGGTAACCGCGCGCAGCTCAGCGGCCGGTGAGCTGGGTGGGGGCTGCCCCGCCGGGCGTCCGGCCCACGCGGGCCCGCAGCAGACTTGAGTGGGCGGCGGCGGAAGGAGCCGAGGTCGAAGAGGCCGGGCCTCTGCCCTCTCTGCCCGGCCCCCGCTCCCGCCCAGGCAGAGAAGGGGCTCCAGCTCGGGCGGCAGCCGGGGGGTGGGGGGCGCAGGCGGAGGGCGGCTCCCCTGAGGCCTCTGCTTGCTCTTTGGTTCGACAGGAGGCAGAAAGAGTTGCTCTCCCTGTTTCATTTCTAATTTGGTAGATTTTTTTTTACCCAAACACCCAAGTCCTAATGAGGCAGACGGTACCTTAGCAAAAAGTATATCCATCTGTTTTCAAAGGTAAAAACTCTTTGGTTGTTGATTTGGACTAAAGTTGCCAGACTTAGCAAATGAAAACACAGGTTTCCACTTAAATTTGAATTTCAGATAAACAATAAATAAGTTTTAATGTGAGTATGTCCCAAATATCACACGGGACACACACTGAAAATGATTTGCTATTTACTTGAGTCAGATTTAACTGGGGGCCTACCCAGAACCCTCACTTGGCCTTTAAGTGTCCAAAGCCAAAATGCCTTCTCCTGCAAGTAATATTCTCAGAGCTGCCGACAACCCTTAGGAATGACGTCAGCTGGCCCCACCGGCTACAAGGCAGGTGTGCGTTTATCTGAATTATCACGAGCCTGAGCAAGGACACGCCAAAACCTAGTCACCATCCACGGAGAGTGTGTCACGGGTCAGGGCTGCCTGGGTGTTGTGCGTGTGGGTCTGAAAGCGCCAGGGCCTCTTCTCTCACGTGTGGCATCACGACCTAGGAAGGGAGGTGAGCCCCCCGCAAATCCCCACAATTCAAGTTGCTGCGTGAGAGGGCCAGGAACGTGGTACCCGTGGAGCATGTGAATTCCCACTGGGAAAGGAGGGCGGCTCCCCACAGGGCGGGGGCGGACACGGGGCTCTGAGAGGGGCTCGCACGGGGCTCTCCGGGGAGCGGACAGGAAGAGCCTCACGGGAGGGTCCCCAGACTTGGCCAGTTGCCTCATGTCCGTTTCCAGGAAGGACGGTCAGTGTCCCAAGTCTTAGGAAGACTGACCCTCCTCACTTGTCCCATAAGTGAGGTTATGAGTTGATAGATTATGCAAAAACAAAAACAAAACATCACGACTTCATGCCAGTCATGAACGTCCTCCAAAGTTCTTTTAGAACTTGACATTGTTGAGAGTTTCATTAACCTGCCCCCTCTCAACCCATGGCTGTTGCTTAGCGAGTCCCCAGAGAAGGGAAAGCAGAAAACGCTCTCTCGGCATCTGCCGACCCAGCCCTTTGGGGAGAAGGAAAATAGGGGAAGGGTCTGTGCTCTCACTCGCCCAGTCAGCACCCCATCCCGGTGGAGTGTTCCCCGCCCCACGTCCTGTCAGGAGCAGCCATGTGGATCCCAGGAACCGGCCTTGAATGGTAGCACCCGCAGCCGCGGGAGGGGGTCCAGACGGTGGAAGCGTCCCCAGGCCCAGCGTAGCAAGTGTCTCGTCCAGAGCCTGGTGTCTGCCTGGTCTGGGGCCTAATTCACACCAGAGACAACAGACAGCAGTTCTTCTGCACATAGAGCTGCTGAGGGGCCTTCCGGAGCCAGGAAATACAGACGGGTAGGGGCTGGATCTGGGTGGGGAGAAGCCCCTCAGCCGTAGCGCTGGGCCCTCGGCAGGGCCGTGGGGTCCACGGTGGGCCCGCTCCAAGAACGGGCGGTGCTGGGCAGCACGGCCCCTGGGGGTGGGCGTGGGGCTGTGCTGGCCTGGTCCTCGTTCCAGCTCGAAGACCCCACGAGTCCTCCCGGGGGGCAGGCCCGCTGTGGTGGGGAGACAGGGAGGAGGCTTGGGCTAACGGTCTCAAAGTCAGGCTCCACCTGGCACCTCTGGCCCTCCCGTCGCAGGCTCTGCTCGTCAATGAGGAGAACGAGGGCTTCTGCGGGGGCACCATCCTGAGCGAGTTCTGCGTCCTCACCGCGGCCCACTGTCTTCTGCAGGCTAAGCGGTTCACGGTGAGGGTAGGTGAGTGCCGCTCACACCGTGCGGGGCCCCCGGGTTTCAGAGGCACTAGGACTGACAGGCTGGCCGGAAACGCTAGTTCAAATACTGAGGTCCTGAGGGGGAGAGGGAGGCCGGGGGACGAGGGGCGCCCCTGCCCCCTGCACGCAGGGTCCGCCGTGCCCTCTCCTCAGGGAAGTCCCCCAGAGCCCCCAGCCGTCTGAGCAGCCGCCACCACTGCCCCACATTTGCATCTGGGGGACTATTTCCTAACGTCCCCCTTCTCACCACACCCTAGAGCTGCTCCACGACAGTCCAGGGCGAGCCACGTGCCCGAGCCACGGCTGCAATGTCTAGCTTCCTAGTTACCTTACGTCATCTAGTTTTAAAGTCCACAGGTGATACTCATTTCGGTAACACCCCTCATTACCCAGTATAGCCAAAGTAGTGTCAGTTTGACCTGTGATTGGCTTGTAAAGTCCTCTTGAGGTATTTTGAGTTAGTTTTTCATTCTGAGATTTGGCACTCATGGCACATGTGGGTTCTGCTCAGTGCCCACTTGGCCCCGTGGCTGGGGGCAGGTCCGGCAGGCCGGACCCGGTGCCCAGCCCCACCCGCGGGCAGACCAGGGGAGGGTGGCCGCTGCCCCCAGCGGGGAAGCCGTAGGCTGTCACACTGGCCTCGCTCTAGTCGCCTGTATTTCACATTTCCTAGTGACCACATGCCAATCTCTAAGCAGAAAAAAAGCGGGACTGCTTTAAAGCGTCAGTGACGTGCAGGGCCTGGCGGCCCCCAGCTGACGGCCACGTCCCCGTCCGCAGGCGACCGGGACACAGAGAAGGAGGAGGGCAACGAGATGGCACACGAGGTAGAGGTGACCGTGAAGCACAGCCGGTTCGTCAAGGAGACTTACGACTTCGACATCGCGGTGCTGCGGCTCAAGACGCCCATCAAGTTCCGCAGGAACGTGGCGCCCGCCTGCCTGCCGGAGAAGGACTGGGCCGAGGCCACGCTGCTGACCCAGAAGACGGGCGTCGTCAGCGGCTTCGGGCGCACGCACGAGCGGGGCCGCCTGTCGTCCACGCTCAAGATGCTGGAGGTGCCCTACGTGGACAGGACCACCTGCAAGCTGTCCAGCAGCTTCACCATCACCTCCAACATGTTCTGCGCCGGCTACGATGCGCAGCCCGAGGACGCCTGCCAGGGCGACAGTGGCGGCCCCCACGTCACCCGCTTCAGGGACACCTACTTCATCACTGGCATCGTCAGCTGGGGCGAAGGATGCGCGCGGAAGGGGAAGTACGGCGTCTACACCAAGGTCACCAACTTCCTCAAGTGGATTGACAAGTCCATGAAAGCTGGGCTGGGGACAGGGGACAGGGGGGAGCCGCGCCCCCAGTGAAGCCCCCCACTGCCCCTCGCAGCCCCTGCCTCTCCCTCCTCTCAGCACCGGGGCTCTGAGCCAGCCTCCCTCCCTGCCGTGATTAGAGCTGGGTTGATTCCTTATCCTGCTTCTGTTTTTGCTCCACCGAAGTGGGAAATGAAGGTCCATTTGGAACCTGGGACCCTGCCTTCCCGTCGCCAGCTGGGAGGTTTCAGGATTCGGGAAGTGCTACCCACGTAGGATGGGCCAGGGCTCCCAGACCAAGTCTTAAAACTGAGGGGCCTTTTCTGTTCACAGCGCGTTTCTCTGTCCTGGAGGCCGCCAGCTGCCCCCCTGGCTGCTCACAACAGTGCTGAGTAAACCAGCAGGGTTCTGGGAGCACAGGGGCGCCAGGGCCAGCCCCCCTCCCCAGGGTCAGGTGGGGCTTCCCCACGTGTGCCCTCCTGGCCCCCAGTCACCTCCCAGGAGAGGCAGGCTCCCTGGGAAGGCAGGGCCCAGCAGGTTTCGTCGGCAGGGACATTTTAATGTTGACCTAAAGACCGACTCTCTACGTGGCTTCACGGCTGCGTCCCTGGGGGCCCAGCCACATGGGCTCCAGAGCCACGGGCACGCCCCTGGGTGTGACTGTCGCCAGGCCGGGGCTCTGGAGTCTGCCTCTAGGCCACAGCCCAGAGCACGAACCCAGCTCTGGCTAGCCCCTGCCGCCCCCCTGCTACCCTGCTAGCGAGGTATGTGCTGGGGGGCTGCAGGAGGGCCGCCCCTCCTCCAGTGGTCACAGCCCAGGTCGAGCCCTCCCGGCCGCACCAGCTCCAGGCCCTCAAGCCAAACAGCCAGGAAAAGCAGACATGCTTCTAGAAAAAGCAGTCACCTCAGACGGGACGTGCCGTGTTTCCCGGTACCGTTTGCATTTTGCGTAACTTGGCTAAGCAAACTTTCAAAGTTCCAGTACGAGAGCTCCCAAGGTCACTGGCTGGGCAGTTGCGTAAACAGGAGATCTGCACATTTGCAAAAATCAACGCGAACGGGCTTCCCAGAAACGGTCAAGCCAGAGGGTCCGTTTCTGCGCGTCCTGCCTTGACCTCCTCAAAGGGAACCGTCCCGCCGAGAAGGCCTCGGACGGCCAGGCCCTGCGTGCTGGGGATGGGGGTCTCCGTCCAGAGCAAACCTGGATGGGCTGTCAGCCCACAGGTTGCCTGGGGTCCGGAGAGAGCTCTTGGGGAGCCCTCCTTCCCACCAGGCTGGCATCTCTCACCAGTGGGGCCGAGCCCACAGGTCAGAGAGCAAGGGCAGCTGGGCACCTGGGAGTGGAGGGCAAAGGGGTCCCCACCGCCCAAGGCGCTGAACCTTCCCCGTTGGGAAACAGAGCTGGACTCAGTGAGGTTCCAGAGGGAATTCGGGCAGCGTGGTAGGGAGGCCTCTTGTCTGGTTCGCACAATGCTGGTTCCGTGGGCCCTGGGACCATGGGCCTCAAAGCTCGTCTCCAGGTGGACCTGAACCAGGCCTGTGCCCTGTGGGCACAGTCGGTCCCGCTCCACTGCATGTCCCCTAGAAAGTCTCCTCCGGGGACAGACGTGAGCAGGAAGCCGACCGTGAGGAACCACGGGGGGCGGTGGCGGTCAGGGTCTGACTGTCCCTCCCGAGAGTGAGGGACCGCTCATCGGCACCCGCGGTCCCTGAGGGGCAGGGTGAAGACATGCCTGGGACAGAGCCGCGTTTGGAGCGGGGAGGGCAGAGCGGCTGTATGGCGGCCGGGTGGCAGGGGGAGGGGGCGGGCTTAGAGAGCCGGAGACCTGCAGACACAGGGTCCCTGGAGGCCTCCGCCCGCTGCAGGTGCAGCCCCCGGCCCTTGGGGCTGGAGGGTGATGTTTCCGTTCTAGAATGATCCTCACAGCCACCATGAGACCCTGATGGAGGTACCAGAGCCCTGGGGAAAGTCATCCCGAGCATCGGACGTGAATTACAAACAGGACGGGGCAGCTCTGCATCAGGAGAGCCCGGGGCGCATCACCGAGTGGGGGTGTGTCCTCACCGACGATGCGGACGGGAAGCAGGGCTCCTGACAAGAACGGGGTTCAGCCCTGGTCGCCGAGGTGCCCACGTCAGGAAGAACAAAACAGCTAGGAAAAACACACTACACGAGCCTTCGAAGGAAACCAAGAGGATGCGGGGAGAGAGGGCACCGTGCGGGTGCTCGTCAGGGGCCCCTTAACAGGAGGGAAGCCCGGTGTGCGGGCTGCCGGCGGAGGGAGGGAGAGAGACAGACAGACAGAGACACAGAGCCGGAGACAGAGTCAGAGACCGAGAGGGACAGAGGCAGAGCGCCCCCGGGGGGCCCCATGCTGACCCGCTCGGTGAGGGGGGATGAGTTTGCTGTCCCCTCAGACGGAGGTCAGAGTATCTACCCGCTCGTGGCGCTGCGCGAGGCTCTTCCCGAGCGCCCCCCAGGCCCGCTTCCCCTGGCACTTGGTGCCCCAGGAGAGCTGGTCTCACCGGGAGGTGCTGGGCTCCCCAGCCCTTCACAGGAGCCCCGCTGGACCGGCCTGGAGGGCGCCCGCCCTCGAGGGTCTGCCTTAACCCCCGCCCCCCCCCCCCCCTGTTCGGGTTACCCCCCCACAGGGAGCCTCTGTGACCGGCTTGTCCAAGGCGGCCCACCGCGCTGTGCCGCCTTATCTGTCGGCGAAATGTGCCACTGTGTCTTCCCGCCCCCGCGGCGCAGGCCCGGTTCCCGCGGGACGCCTCGGCTCCCGACCCCCGACCTCCGACCTCCGACCTCCTCCCGAGGAGCCGCCCCAGCTCCGTCCCTGTCGGCCTCGGCCTTTCATTTCTCCGTCTTGCCCTCTCTTCGCCTTAAACGGAAAAAGACAGGACTGAAGCCTCTAGGCCACTGGATTGCCCGCTGGCCTCCGCGGGCGGCCTTCCTCTGCGGGGCTGCTTTCCCGTCCGCACCCGCTCCGAGCCGAGCCGGGCGACGCTCTGGCCGCGGGCTGAGCATGGCCGGCCGCGGGCCGCCGCTCGCCCTCCTCGCCCTCCTCGCGCTCCTCGCCCTCCTCGCGCCGCGCGGCGCCCAGCCCGCAGGTAGGCGCCACCTTGGGCATCCTTTCTGACTCAGGCTTGCGGGTGGGTGGGTCGGGGGCTTTTTCTGGGAGCCGAGGGCCCCCGGCGGGACCAGCATGATCTGAGCCCAGCTCCCGGTCTCTTCGCCGCTCGTGACGAGTATGTTGGAAGTGACCGTGTCCTTCGGGGGCCCCGGGGGCCCAGGTGGAGCCGACCGCCGGGTCCGGGGCTCAGGACTGGGTAGGGCACGGCTTCTGGGGGAGCCGGGAGGGCACCCCAGCCCCTCATGCCCCCCGCCCGCGGGCCTCTCCCCGTCCTCAACCTTCCTTCACATTCAGACCCAAACCAGCGACCGCAGATGGGGGGCCCTGGAGCCCTGCCGCCCACGCGGCCAACGCGCCCCCGCACCCAACCGGCGGCCAAGGTCAGGTCGCCAGGAGCTCAAAACACACCAGACTGCAGAGGTTTAGCACAGAAATCAGAATGCAAACTCAAATTAATAGTTTTTTTAACAATTGTTGTGTGTTGAAACAGAAGTATTTTGGATCTATTGGGTTAAATAAGTATATTATTAAAATGATCATAACCTCTTTCCTTCGATGTCCTAAATGTCCGGGGACACTCGTGACCACAGGGCCTGCAACCGCTTCTCTCGGCTGCGCTGCCCACCTCGGCCAAGGCTCCAGCCGCCGCCCCCCTCCCTCCCTCCCTCCCTCCACGCAGCAGACAGGGGGACATCAGATACCTCTTACAGTCAGTCGAACCTTTAGGATAAAACCCAAAGCTCGGAATGAGGCCTCAGTAAGAGACACCCCCCCCCCCGCCGCCCCCGGCAGCACACAGCTCACAGCCGCGTACAACTGTGCACAGTCGTGTACGAGGTAAACGCTGTCCTGGAGGGGCCACAGAGGAGATGCCCAGAAAAACCCTCCCGGTAACGCTGAAAGCAGAGTAGGTATTTTATCCCATGTTTGCTACATGCCCCTGCCTGGCACGAGGGGAAAGACCGACGGGAGCAAAAGAATGAACGAGGCAGTGAGCGCCCACCACCCTCGGCTCCCCGCAGCCCCAGGCGCAGAGCCTACACGGCGCGAGGGGCCCAGGAGGAGGCCCCACCCCAGCTCAGACCACGCTTGGCACCACGTGGGGGAAAGAGACAAGCTCCGCGGGGGGATGCTGGTGCTGGGTGGAGAAAGAGAAACCTCTCCGGAGAAGCAGTCACTGCAGTCGGCCCAGGGGTCTGCGGCAACTGCTTGTGACTGCAGTGACACCCCAACGATCCAGGGTCATGTCAGGGGGAGACATGGGTCCTCATTGCCTCGGGCTCCCTTCTCAACCTGGGGCCTCTCATGGTAAAAGAAAAACCCAAACACACAAGGAAAGAAGACAACCAGAAACTTGCAGGAAAAAGAGTAGAATCAGACTCACAAAAACCTTGATACCCAGACACAGAACACAGGACATGTGATAGAGGTACGGCAAGAAAACAGGAGACATTAAGATGCCCAAACAGATGTGAAAAAGAATCGAACAGAACTTCTGAAATGGAAAAAATATTCATTGGAATTTTAAAATCCATTCAATAAATGAATCAACACAAAGCATTCAGGGAAAAGATTCTCCTTTACAGCAGAATGCCGATTAGTAAGTGCAGAAGGAAAGAGGGGTGTAAAGTCACTCTTCTGCAATTAAAATGGTAATAACTGATTCAGGAAAAACTACTTCATTGACGCTGAAAACACTCGGCTAAAGACTGTTGGGGGACAGGACATTCCTATCCCAAAACATCTTCCTCACAGTGGAGAAATCTGTGGACACCATCTATGCAGTGTCCCCCAAACTTCATGTTTACCCAGAACCTCAGAATGTGACCTTAGTTGCAAATAGGGTCTTTGCAGGTGTATTAATTAAGAGGAGATCATCCTCAGGGTGGGCCCTAAATCCAATGACTGGTGTCCCTATGAGGTGGCTCTACTCAGTCCTCCCCGCCGTGATCCTCATCCTCATATTCCAGAATGACGCTTAGAGCTCCAGCCATCACATCTGTGTCCCAGGTAGCAGGATGGAGAGAGGGACAAAGAAACGGCCAGGGGCCACGCCAGTTGTCTTTTTCAAGAAGGTTCCCAGGAACCTGCTGCCTAGCCCTTCTGTTTGCATCTTGGTGGCCAGCGCTCAGCCATGCGGCCACCCTTAGCACCAGGGGAGTCTGTCCGCGCAGCCGTGTGCCCAGCTAGAAATCGGGGGCTCTTGTCCTGGCAGAGGACTGCCCAGGGGGCAGCCTCTCAAACCCGGTCTCCACCGCTTCCTCGCGGGCTCCCACCCTCCTGTTCTAAGCTCACTCCTACTCACCTGGCTGCACGTAAGGGGCCCGGGGCCCAACGTCGTGGTGAGCAGGAGGTAAACTTCTTCCCGGGTCTGAGGGTCAACCGTTGGGTCTGCTCCTCCCAGCACCGCAGAGCCTGGCCCTCAGGATGCGGGTGGGAGTTCTTGGGTTGCCCGCCCACGCTGAGGCGCCTACATGCCTGTCTTGTTCTGCAGTGTTTCTTCCCACCTCAAAAGCAAATGAAATTCTGGTGAGATGGAAACGAGCCAGCTCCTACCTTTTGGAAGAGCTCTTTGAGGGAAATTTAGAAAAGGAATGTTACGAAGAAATCTGTGTCTACGAGGAAGCACGAGAAGTATTTGAAAATGACGCATCCACTGTATGTATCCCCCCTGCCACAGACTCACACGCTTTCTGATTATTCCGCTGCCTTAGAGGACATATTTTCTCAAAGAGGCTGAACTAAATTAATTAACCTATTTACTTACCTGGGAGGTTGATCTAATCCTAATTGTACAGATGAGGAAACAGAGACACAGAAGTGAAATCACTTTCCCCAGCCAGTTAGTGGGGCACCCGGGATGGCAGCTCAGTCCCACCACCTAAACTCTTCAGATTAAGCAAATTAGCACATTGAGTAGCCGGACTCCTCACAGAGGTCACCCAGCTTGACAGGACTCTGACGGAATTTAGTATTTTTAATAAAGATGTAATTGTTTCAATGTGTCAGCAACGCAAAGACCCTCCCTGGTGCCTGCGTGGTGAGAACGTCTCTCATGGTCCATAATTGGATTACAAGCGACAACACGTACACTCTGGATAATACAACTGAGAACTTGCCGTTCTCAGTCACTCACAAGCTTATCAATCAGTGAACAGAGGGCCTGAATATTTGTGTGTGAGTATTTCAGAATAGTAAAATACGTAATAAAGACTTCCCAGTTCTACATATTAAAGCAGCAATATTTAAAGGTGATTCTGAACAAAATGTTGACCCGTTTCTCTAATATATTTTTAAAGTATTTTAAAATCATAATTTCTTAAATGCCCATGTATAAGAAAATGATCTTTAATCAAACTAAGAGAAATTAAAACGTCCTGGTAAAGTTGTGCTTGAGTTGTTAGAAGTCCGAGTATGATTTGGGGAGATGCAATCACTTATATGTTTACCCTCCAGGCCTTAAGCCTGAGTAATTCTCCTAATTTTAGATACCGCCACCCCAAGTTAACATTCCCCCCACATTTTTAATCCTTGTTGAATTGGCTTATAAAAACAGAAAAAGTGATGTGAATTTTCTACATCTGCCTCAGGCACTCTGCGGAGTGGGGCCATGGAGACAGGCCCGGGAGGGGAAAGGGCCTCGCAAGGCCGTGGTGTTTGTGCCACGTCTTAGACTGTTTTCCCTTCCTCAGATGGGTCACCGTAAATAAATACTGAATGGGACATGGGACATGGGTGTATTAAAGATGATATTAAGTAGATGTAAAGAATTTTACATTCTTTGTTTCAACCAGTATTTTCCTATGGAGTGAATAAAATCAACATTTTCTTATTTTCAAGCCCGGCCACAGGAGAAAACACGGAACACAGATGTCCCATTTGTAACACTTTTATGTTTCTCTTGTACAGGATGAATTTTGGAAGACGTATCTGGGTAAGTGTCTCCTCCACCTACTCCAGGATTCTTTCCTCTTCTCCTCCCTTTAAGGTCAGGGGAGGCAGTTGGCTCACGAGGGCTGCTAATTTGAGGCCAGTGGATTCCAGATTTCGAGCCTTGGGCTCCTGGAACCCCTGACCCAAAGGAAGGGCCTGGCACTGCCCGAGGACGAGGGTGGGAAAGGCCCCGAGGTCCCGCCGGGATCAGGGGGAAGCTGGAGCGGCCTCCCGGGCTCCCTTGGGCCTCGTGCTGAAGGGTCAGACCCGGTTGAGGAAGGCGAGGCTTGGGGGATGCTGGGCGTCCCTGCGGGGACCACAGTGACAGGAGAGCTCGAGGAGGCGCCGGCGCTGGTCACGTGGCCGCCCAGCAAGGAAAGGGGGTCCTGGAGGGACGTCGGAGGGTGTTACCCGCAGGCTGTCCTCACGTCCCTATCGGCAGGCGGCTCCCCGTGCGTCTCCCGGCCCTGCCTCAACAACGGGTCCTGCCAGGACACCATCCGCGGCTACACCTGTACCTGCGCCCCGGGCTACGACGGCCGGGACTGCGCCTTCGGTGAGCACCGCCCCGCCCCACGCCCGGCCTCCGCCCCGCCCCGGCCTCCGCCCCCGGCCTCCGCCACACCGAGCCCCGCCCCGGGGATGAGCAGGAGGAGGCCCGTGGTAACCCGGCTTTCCGCTGGGAATCACACCTTGTGAACGGCCCCTGTTTCCCCCGTGGGGTCCCCTCCTCTTCCTCCCAGCCCCCCGCCCCGTCCAGACCATTCGCGATCTACTCTCCTTTCTCCCGGGGCCCGGCTGACCCCGCTGGGGGTGATGGGTCTGGGGTGGTCAGCCTATGAGGGGACCGCACCCGGCTCTCTGGGTCGTGGGTGCGTGACCCGGCCTGCAGCCTCATCAGCTGATGTCCCTTCAACATCGTGAGACTATCCGTGGGGGGTGGGCGGCGCCAATTCCTGTCAGTGGTCGTTCGTGCGGCAGTAAACTCGCGTAATGCTCCCGAGGGCCAACGCGGAGCCCGTTTCCGGGACGAACGTTACGTCCAGCCTGGATCCCCGGACTCCAGCTGCCTCCTGAGCGCCCCGCCCAGTGCTGTGTGGACGCCCCAAGTGCAACTCGCGCCAAAGCAGGGCTTCCAGCTTCATCCCAATGCCCACCTGGAAGAAGCCCCTTAAAGGGAGCGGCTGCTGCGGCGGGAAGTGAGCCCACGGCTGGGAAACGAGGATCCTTGCGAGGGACTTGCAGACCTGCCCCCCCGCAACCGAGCTGCTGCTCTGAGGACGGAGCCCTGACTGCTCCTCGCCCCTTCCTGACGCGGGAGTCGAAACGCTCGCCTGGCGACGTTTGGAAGGAAAAGCCAGAGTCCCAGTGCGCAAGGAGATTTCAGAGTGGCTATGTCCAGGGTAACATGTCTGGTTTTCCCTTCTTCCCTTTTCAGCTAAAAATGAATGTCACCCTTTGAGGACGGATGCGTGTCAGCACTTCTGCCACCCGGGGCTGGGGTCTTACACGTGCAGCTGTGCGAAGGGGCATAAGCTGGGCCAGGACCACAAATCCTGCATCCCCCACGGTGAGTCCCCTCCGCTGGGCCTCCTCCTGCAGGGACCTCTGACAGGCCACCTCCTCCCCCGTGGCTGGGGGGGGTCCTCCTCCTCCGTGGCTGGGCGGGGGGTCCTCCTCCTCCGTGGCTGGG